GGATATCAACAAATCTCTGTAATTAACTCAATGACGAGAGCAATCTCACAAGAACCAGTCACATCAATCGATCAAAAGAGAACAACATTAACTACATAACAAAACAACGCGCAAGTTAGCATTCTGTTTGATAGAAGTAACGCTGGCCCACTGACCAATCAGAGCTCCCGTTAATGCTGCGCTGACGTGCTTATGAGGCTACCTCGGTACTACTGACGCGTCAAAGAACACACCAAACATGTCAAACTAAAGATCTGATTGATTGAAAACTATGACAATAATTTGACAAATTAATTTAATGCACAATTTTTAAAACATACCTTATCATAACTTTATGTTAATATAAATAATTATACTTTATTTAGAAGTTACTACTTTTAAGCCAAGTTAATAGGCCCTTTTCTCCCTTTAAGTGGTCAAACAAACATAATGTACGCTAACCTTTTTATATTAGATTAAATGTTAAACGTAGGCTACAGTTATCAGAACAATACAAACATCCAGACTTCCCCACAAACTAGGGGGCCTGCATATTTAAATCAAAGTCAATCATTTAAATCAATCAAAAGACGATGGAAGAAATCTTCAAAATCTCTTTGACGACCCTGATAAAAATGTCCGTGTCCCGCTACTTGGTCCAGACGCAGTCTTTAGCAATGATTATTTTGAAAGCATCACTCTTGCATGCAGGGGCAGTCAGAAGCTTCCTTCCACACCATTCTACTCAAAAACCATAAAGCTCATAAACCCCCCTGAAGCAAGTTTATGCCTGTAACCATTAGCAAGGTGCTGTTAGGCATCCTAAAGGCAGCTTAAGTGGTCTTTAATAAAGGCAGGTTTTACGTGCCTCTAGGCCCTTTTCTCATAAAAACCTAAAAGGTTTTGTCAGGTCATTCTCTCACGTGAGCTGACATTATCACCATCTTTCCTTACGTTTTTTTGTGCTTCCAAGAAAGTCATGATTGCCCTTGAACAATGCGCTTTCCTTGTTGCCCTCTCCATTGCCGTTAAATTTCTTTTTCCAATCCCACAAAGGAGGAGAAGCCTTGACTTTAAGACAAAAAAGATAAGAACAAGACAATAAAAGAAAACCCGAAACCATGAGATGCTTATTTGCCGTCTCTCAATTATGACCTAAAGGTACTGTCTGAAACTACAACCAAAAACAGAAATAAAACCAACACAGCCAACCACCCTTCATATTCCTATGAAGCGAATTAATTACCACAGAGGCCTCTGCCACAGACACAGGGCCTGTTTCCAACTACACCTTTAAGGTTAAGAGTTCTTTAAAGTGTTCCTTCCTCCACCTCACTAAGGATCAGCAGTTCCTGAACATCTGGGAGTTTGCCAAAAACGGTCTGTCTCCATGGCACCCGGCATCTTGAAATAATTCAAGTTCAGGATCACGTACAATGTGATTGTCCTGCCCTCACGGCGCTTGTGGATCTACCTGTGCTGTGGAAGGTACAAGGGGGCAGCTTTTTTGGCCTTCTCCACCAGCAGCAGGTTTTTGGGGTTTGGCTACGAGGTAGACAGACAAGGTACACGTTGCCTTCTGGATTAAGCCAGACAATTTGTAGCAAAGAAAAAGGGTGTCTGGAGGCTATCAGGTACATCTGGCCTGTCCGACTGTAACGTATCTACAAGCCCTCTGCCAGTGTCTTCCACAAAGCCAGGTGGATTTCACAACCCTAACATGCTAGCTCGACAGATGTGCATTCTGTGAGTAGTCATTGTTTACTTTAATTGTTAGATTTTTTCTCGAGCGAAGGCGGCATGAGGTATTTGGATAGATGTCTGGAACAGATAAATCAGTACAGAATATGTGGCCTAATGAGGAACAAAGTACGATTCAATGCGTAAGTTGTATTCAAACAAAAGTTTAAATAATTTAAATGTAAGCAAAATCCCAAAAGAAGTATCGCAAACAGAAAGGAAGTAACGATAAAAGGCAGACGATTTGATGCATTCAGTGTACAAATATAACTCACCTTTCAGCAAGATGAAAGCCTGCATTTAGAGAGAGCTCCGCATAGCTTTCATTTATGCACACGTACTTTTATAGACTATCATACCTGCGCTTTCATGAATACCTCAAAGAAACCATCATATGCACCAAAGCCCTGGTTTAAATGTCTAAATAACTGAGGGGATGAAATGCAAAAAAACAATGGCTTTTTATTTTTTATTTTTTATTTCGGAGGAACTCTTGGCAGTTTTGAACTGTGCAGGTTGTACAAAGTGTAGATGCAATCAGTTTATTTAGTATATAGTATACAGTTTACATATGTTAAGGTTACTTGCCTCTCTCCTTTTCTTCCCACGACTGCAGGAATATTAAATATGTGAGCCGCCCCGCCTGCAGATGCTTTGCCATTGATTTTTGTGTTGATCCCCCACATCGCAGTATCAGAGATGGATAGTTGAGACGTCTTCAGATAGGAGCAGAGAGAATGGAAGAAGTGTCACTCTGAATGTCGTAAGGTAGATGAATATGTTTCAGTTGCAGTGATGGCAGCATGGTTTCTGTTTGCCTGAGCTTCACCCAGTGCTTCTTCTCTTCTATTATATGTTCACTTAAGACACCAAAGGCTGATGTTACTTGACATTTAGTATAAGTAAGTGAAACAAATCGTGTTGGTTACCATCTCCACTTGGCCTCATTTCAGGGAAGTGAGTATTAACCACAGTATTAACTCTTTTGATTGAACTCTTTTTAGACCACCACAGTAGAGCCAGCAGGTCGGGCCACATCACGCTGGGTTACATTTTCTTGAAGTGTATATTCATCATCGACTCTAATGAGGATTCCAACCCCCTATAGTGCCGAGTGCTTCACCAGAGTCTGCAAAAAGATAAACGCAATTAAGGCTGCATCCGTCTCATGCAGCTCTCTCGACTTGTGTGGAAACCTGTTGGTGGAGCTGTTTCGTCACTGGGGCCCATTTGATTAGTTTTACTTGCCATCAACTTTGTGCACAATATCATTTTTGCTTTAATCGGAGGTGTCAGAATACTGAGAATGTTGCGGCTGCAGCGGTCTTCTTCTTCTGTGTGGGCGGAAGAGGGAGAGAGCTGTCATCCTGTGAAAAACAACCATGGAGCAATATTTCCCTTGAATTACAGTGCGCCTCTGCTTTTGCATATGGGAATTGATTTTATGAGAAGCAGCATATGAACGACAGATAAATGTGGTGCTGTTTTCTGCATTGTGATTCTGCCATGTGATTCACCATAAACCCTGGCAGGGGGCTCAGTGTTCTGCCACATCCACTGCCAGCTCTCCTCTTAATACTGCTTCAGCACGGCCACCGGTTCAAAAGCTCAACATTGCCACCAAGTGGCAGATAATCTCATGACCCCGTGGATGTGAGTTTAACAGTTCCAGATGCTTGCAGTCAGTGCACCACAAGCGGACAGCATTGCAGATGCAGGTGTCATGGTGGGTTCAAAAAGATGAGCAGACGTCCGATTATGGCAGAGCTGGCAGAGGTCCCAGCTTTTGATGGGCGGACATCAAATCCATAATCCGTTCATTAGTCTTACAAGAGGAGATCTAGGAGGGATCTGCTGCTCAAACAAATCAATATTGCATTCAGTTACTCAATGTGCCAAATCATTTTTCACCCTTTACCCTTTTAAGTGTATCTAAAGCTGCTAGAATGGCTACCTGCCGATATCTCTGACATTAACAGCCCATCAGGGGACGTGTATTGTAATCTAATTGCTCAGGACTATGGACCGCCTGTTAAGGGGCGCAAATTACATCTTTGTGTTTCAACTGTCAGGCCCCAAATCTTTCCTTCCCTTGTGATGGTGGTGGTGTGAGATTGCTAACTATACATGAGGCCATTCCCCTCCTGTGCTCATTACTATGTAATTAGCTCTCGTGCTATTCAACTTCCGTCATTTCATAGGCCGCCCACTAAATTCCTGCCCGGCTAGGAGGGCTTTTCAATAGCTTCAATTGTGAGGTATCAATCACTATGCCTAAAGACATTCAATGATATAGAAGTGATGACTACAGAAATACACACACAGGCTCGTTTTGCTCTGAAGGAGAAAATGGCAGTGGAGAAATATGGAGAGTGGTATTTTAATGAGGCTATTTTGTTAGTGTCTCGCTTTTTTACCTGATACCCTTGTATCAAATGAAATGAATAAATCAAAGTTGCATAAAAATGTGGTTTACACTGAATGTATGTGTTTGTGACCATGGAAGATTATGAGCAGGTCACCCCTCTTGCTCACCAGGACATTGTTGGACGACACACGGGAGGTTTAGACGTCAAGCAGCACTGAGACATGAGCCGACTCGAAGGCTGGATAAAGCTGGATCAATGTCCTCCCGTTGAACGGAAAATACAGAGCCGGAGCTGCGCAGGCAGAGGCCCAGACTGACTTCATCTCTGATAGTAATGAGATGTGGCACATGCTGCAGCGCCTCTTTCGGGGCTGGTTATTAATGTCCACAACAGAAAGTGAGAAAACACTGGATCATGGTCACATGAAGGATGGCAGCAGTATGTGGTGGTAGATGTAGAAACGATTTCAACAGAATCGTTGTTGGGGATGTTTTTTTTAGATTTGGTTGTGTCACGATTGCTGCAAAACTCCTAGGTCAGAAAGGGTGGAGTTACGCGTTGTTGCAAATGCGATTGTGTGTGTGGTGTGGGCTGCTGTTCGCGTGCATTCTAATGGGCTATTTTCAAAAGGTTATTGGGAAAATGTTCTGCGGTTAGGCAATATTGCAATTTAAGTAACCCCTTAAATCATCTCAAAAACCTGCATGTTCAGTGTTGATTAATGTTTATTTGATTGAATTCATTTTTATTAAAAAAATTCTTCAATTTAGGAAGAATTTTGGATTACCAATACTAACAGGAATGCAAGTAGAACCTATACTCAGATCGAAGCACCTTCTGAAAACTGAAATGATCCAAAGGGAGAGCATAAGAGCATAAGTGTCCAACTCCTAAGAGACAAGACAACATAAATGAGTGGCGCCCGTTGCATTTAATACTGGGGAATAAGTGGACAGCAAGGAGCAGCACGGCATCGGTTTGAAAGATTCATTCACAGAATGACAACAAACATCTTTCATTAGGCAGTCAGTGACACAGAAGGACCGTAAGCTATTTAGCAATATTTAAACACAACAATTAAGTCTCATACAATGGCAAAACGTGCACTTAACAATGTGGTACTCAAAGTCTGAATTCATCTCTTCACAATCACAAAGCAGGTCCGCTGTCTAGAATGTCTCTGTCTCCTAAATAAAAACAAAATTTGGCATGCAACAAATTTAAAAATCCTCCTGTCTGGCCAGAGAATAAAGCCATGAAGGCAGAAGCATGCAGGATGGAAACAGCAAAATACAAGTAGCATCAAAACAGATTTTCAAGAAACAAGATGAGATTTTTTCACTGCTGTCAAGTGGAAGTTTCATTACGCCAGGATTATTTATTTCTACAGACACTCTAAGAACTCGAGGCACAAACAGAAACTGGACTCGGTGGCAGTAACTAGCGTCCTGCTCTCACGCAGTCTTAGATGGAGACTTCATCCGTCCGCAGCACTTCACTGTTAGTGCTACATTCACTGTACTGCAAGAGGACGGATCATCTATCAGTGCACTGGTACAAGACACTGTAATACTGAAAACAACACCACAGCAATAACTATTGGGCAGTTAACAAAATTCAGGTACACATGGCAAAATAAATACACCATTGTCCAAAGTTCATCATAGTCATTACTGTCCAACAGTTGGGAAAATTGTTGCTCTTGTCATCATGCTTCAGACAGACATCACGAATAAACATTTTTTCATTTGACATAAAAATTGGTCCTATTATTGTCCCATTGAAATGTATTTCAAAACAAGATGAAAAACAACCACAAGCAGAGCTTCTCAGACAAAGAAGACAGTGGCTTTGTTTGGGTGGCAGGTTTATATTCTTTCCACCATGTTTGTGTTCTAAAGAAAAGAGAAAAAGGAAAGTAAAGATCCATTCAAATTTGCAGCAGAGTGCACTCAAATTATAAACTCTAACATTCCACCCAGAAAATACAATTTTGTGGAATCTTTTTATTTTTATACATAGTTAGTTTTACAGTAAAAACTCTCTCGGGCAAGACGGAATCAAAATGCAGACATATAAAACATACAAAGACATTCCATTCACATTGGTAGTCACATTCCTGTGAGTAAGCTGTTGCAGTAACTGTCCACTGCGTGGCAGCCTGTCGGTGTCCTGGCGGGTGTTTACTGCAATGTCCCAATGTTACAACAGTTCAGGGTTGTAAAAGGGAAATTCTGTAGCACATCCTGTCTGGCTGCCGCCCATTTGGCTTCTTGCATGCAAACCGTGGGAGGGATTCGAATTCGAAAATTGAGAAACACACTCGCTGACACACCTTGCCCGATTATCAAAATATACTTAAATTCAAGGCCCCTGTGAGAATTGTGCCTTTTACAATCCCCTGGGACAGGATTAAATACTGAAAGAGTCTTAATGAAGATACGGCAGCACTGTGTTAAAAGTGTATAATGGCAGTGTCCTGTACAAAGCAACTCCAGAGACGAAACATTCACAATGGTGTGTGCTGATTTGAATAAATTGACTTTAGAACATGCAGAGATTAATATAAAATGAGATAATAATGCGCCTTAAGGTAGCAATTATTATCTCATATGCCTGTGATAAATTACAGTTTATTAAGTTACAACACCTTTATTATTTCAGTTAACAGACATTCTAATAAACATTTGTGTTAAATCAAATTGCAGCAAACTAACTCGTCCGGAATACTCGGAGCAGTGACTTTAATTTAATAATACTTATGTTCAGGAACTACATTTTCCAGGTTTCATATTTTTCCTACTATCTCAAACCCGGGAATACAAATTGGAGTGTTCTAATACTGATATGCATCTGTGATGCAAAATGATCAGTATACATAGCCGGTTCACAAGCCACAGAGGTTGTTAGTTCGAGGACATCGAGGTATTTCCTACGCTGCTGGACTTGCTTCTATTATTTTGGGAGTCCGATTTTAAAAGAAGAGCTCAACATTTTGGAAAATACTGTCATTTACTTTTTTTCTGGCAGCTACTTTGGTTTCACTTCTTTACAGTCGGAGGGAAATGGGGGCGCGTTGGGCGTCTGTACAAACAGTTCATGGTCAGTACAAACAGTTTGAAGCTACACCCAGCGGTCGGTTAGCAAAAAGATTGAAAAAGGGGTCAAAGCCGTCGTAGCTCTTCCCCGAGGTAACTAAATGTGCTTAGCAGAGACCTACTTAACTACTTAAACACCAGGGTTGCTTGCGGGCTGCATAACAATGTCACTGTGATGACTCCAGCAGGTTACTTGGCAGGAAATAGTCTGGTAAACCTTCCTCAAAAAGTTTTACACCTTGCATTTTGCATGTGTCGAGTATTAACATATTTAAAAAGGTTCAAATTTGCACGTTGGCAGATGTTGTTCTCTTAGGATCGAGGCAGGCCTTTTCTGGGTTTTTCTTAAAAGATCTCCTCCTTTAATGCGCAGCAATCAAGCAGCAGATGTTTGGTCAAACGGAATGCGAGTGATCTTTTTGCTGATTCTCTTTGAACTATTCTTTTGTGATCTTAACATCACACTGATTCCTTAATGAGTGTTAACATAATACACAACAACGTGTTACACTGTAAGCACAGTCAGTCAGTAACTATCATAGTGGGACTGCAGTAAAAAGTGTCAAAATAGGTGGACTTTTCTTTAGCAACTATAGTGACGGTCTCTTTCACCTGGTTATAGGTGGACATCAAACACTCCTTCCTCCAGTGTCTCTATATCCTCTTCAGCAATCACTGAAAACAGAGAAAGTGAGTGAGAAAAAGGTTAGTGAAAGGTTAATGAACTAAAAATTCCGAAACAATACCCAGAGCTAATGAAAATGTTTGGCCGCCGTCTGTTCGCTCCGCCAATTCATTAGTTTCCAGCGTTGTCTGGTCCATCGATCAAGCAGATTCACACTGATAGAACACAAAGCCGGGCTGAGCATCACTTCTGCTAATGTCTGGTGACGAAACTGCATCCATGAGTCACTGTGGTAGGCCAATCACATTTCCATTGCAAATTACCCTCGCTTGTTGGAGAATATCTTCCAAATGTCAGAGCTCCACATGCCCGGAGGAAGACAAAAGCACCCTTTGAATAGTGGCGCTGCAGCTCTCTACACTATACTATTCTGAGAGGATGAGCACATCAAATTTGTCCCATATTTATTAATATATATAGAGGTCTTTCCTAAAACAAGGTACTACAACTGATTAATGGTATTTGTCACACATATGCATCACAAAATAGTCTCGATGTCATTCATTTGCCAACCACCTGTGTTCTGCAAGCTGGGCGGGGTGTTGGCAGGTAGAGGGAAGCTGTAGGATCTGGCCTGGAGGGCCGGCGGCGTTCTCGGTGCGTTAACGTTCTTTGGCGTTTTTCGGGCACTCTGGAGGGCCAGGCGCCTCGGGCAAGGATTTGGCGCAAGTTCACCCCCCACGCTCCCACCAGAAATGTCATTTTGCGCGAAGAAAGGTCTGCGGCAAAAGAGAAGGTGTCGGAAGAGAAGAAACGGCCGTCGGGCTCCGAAGGAGGGAGAGGAAGTGGCCCCGGGAGAGGAAGCCCCGACGAGAAGAAGAAAAGGAAGGAGCCGGAGCGGGGGGGAGAGAGAGGGGAGAGGTTCAGACAGAAACATCGGGCCGAACGGGAAGAGCCAATGGTGACACGAAGGGGCATCGACAAGGGATGCACACACACAAACACTGGCACACATGCACACTGAGGCCGACCGTGCCTGACAATAACTCTGTCAACCTGGAGGGATCTAAGGGGGAGGGGGGGGGTGATGGGTCATTGTGACAACATGAGTCAACAGACCTGAACACACACGCACCGCGGTGCAGTTTTCTCATGATGAACAACATTTCCTCTCTCCGATACACTTTTCCTTCCACATTTGAAGTAGTACAAAGAATTTCTAACTGTTTATGGAACAGTCAGTTTTAATGCCAGTAAAAGACCGTCAGCGATATGGTCATTCTGAATGCTTTTAATAAATGTCATTCCCAACTCTTGACATTATAACAGGCTGGTTAAAATACAACATTGTCCTTGTCCTTCTGTCTGAATGTGTACTGTATTACCCTCTCCACACGTTGAGTTAGAAGTAATCAAACCCCTTTATTTTCAACTCGTCAGTGCACTTTGTCTCTCAATTGTTGCACTGAACTTGCGGTGTTATTATTAAATATCAAGCTAAACAAGGAGCTGCTGGATAGCATACTAGCTTAGCCTAAAGCCTTGGCTCTGCAACATATCAAAGAACACCGGCATCGTTACAACACACCCATTTACACACTGAGATTTCATTCATATCGAGTATAATATAACTAAAGTGTGCGGCCGCACATTCAACTCACACAAACACACACACACATTTAGAATTATAAACTCATTCAGCTCCTGCACTGTGAAAGAGGATTCATTTTGATTATGTCCCTGCCAATCTGTCTACCTCCCTGAGTACAGGCTAACAATGGTAATGGGGATGAATGGCGAGCGATCTCTCTCATTGACTTCCTTGGTCTCATTAACGCAGTGGAACGAGCCAGAAGACTCCCAGTCAGACTCAGAGTCGTACACCCCGTCAAGGAGAAGAGGAGAGAGGAGAGTGTGGTGTTTGGGGGCAATTGCGTGACAGTTTTTGTCATTTAAACATCTCCATCTTCTACCAAGCAAGGCCTTCGCATCAGAAAAGTAAAGAATACAAAAACCAAACCTCTCTGGATTTAAGTAGAACATTTCTTGATTATAGAGAAACTGGGCTGGGATGAAATGAGAACCTTTTGTTAGACCTCAAAGGACCCAAGAAGCATTAATTACTCTCGTTGCCATGCAACTGAAATGTTTGCAAGCTTTTCAATAAGCTTCAGTCAATCTGAAGTGAACCTGTGTAAGGGGAAGGAGTCCACGTTGGCAATAAGATTGGACATGTGAGATTTGAGAATTGAGATGCTTGTATTTAAATAGTAGAATGAAGTGGATGTGAATATGTTACGTAATTCTATTCAAAATAAATGTAACTGAGTAAAGTTACGAATCAAAGTGTTGGTGATTGGAGCGGTCAAATTCTTGCCTTAGAAAGAGCGGTCTCTGCGTGCGGCCAGACAGGCTCTATATTTTTGCCAGTATTTGCTCACGTTTTTGCCATTAAAGTGAACGCTCTAAGCTCTAAGCAGCCTGCGGCGCCAGCAAGCGGTCTTTCAGTGCTGGAAATTAGACATTATTTTCCTTTTTTCTGCACCACATATCTGGAACAAGGTCCCAGAAAGCTGGCTCAGCTCCTTTCAATCCAGATTAAAGGCCTTTTGGTTTGCTGCTGCCTTTAAATGACCATTTCTGGATTTGGGGATTTTGGTACTCTGGGTTTGCAAATTTTATATTTTAAAGTGTTTTTTTATGTTGTCTTTTTTATATTTTTAACGGCTGTTTTGAGAAGACTCCAATATGTACGTTGTTAAGCTTAAACTTTTCCAGTCTAAAATATCTGGTAGAAAAAAATTGATTGAAAATGTAAAATGACCTAGATAAAAAAAGTATCCCACTCCAACTTATCCCATTCCCAAAGCTGAGGTGGAGTTAATCACTTCTCGTAAGGCACTGGCAGATGTTTGCATCTAAAATGTGTTTGTAAACTCTTTGTTTGACATCCAGAAGGAAGGAATGTATTTAGTGTACTGAATGTCAGCACATTATCACTACTTGCATTGGTTTGCATCCCATCCACAGAGAGAAAAGAAGCCAGCTGTTTGAACATGTGTGTATATGAAGATAATGAGGAGGAGAAGATGAGGTGTCGCTGGCTTGCCTGTGTGAATGGGCATCTGTGGAATAAACCAGCTTCTCCAAATACTTGACTACAAGGAGCTATCAAACAGTAAATAATTGTGCATTGTGTGTCGTGTGGCTATAGCTGTATAGAGCGAATTGACCTGTTGGTAAAAGGTGCATTGTTTGGTGCACAGGTATTTGAAGAGTGACGTTTATTTGTCATGGTTTCTGTGTTGATGACATTTACTCAGTACTCTGTTGATCTCTATGTACAGGGGGCAAGTGTGTGTGTGTGTGTGTGTGTGTGTGTGTGTGTGTGTGTGTGTGTGTGTGTGTGTGTGTGTGTGTGTGTGTGTGATTGCTGGGAAATCAATGCAGTCAAAAGGAATTGCTATTTCTTTGAAGTCTTCACCCTTCTAGGTAGAGCACACACCGACTGAGTCAGACCTAAACGCATTGCTCTCTCACCTTTACACTTGTAGCCTTGCTTGTAGAAGCCCCATATCTGCAGACAGAAACAGAGAGGAACAGAAGGGCCGTGGTGTTAATTAAGGGGTGTTTTTGTTTCCGTGGAGGCAAGACATGTGTTCAGACCAGCAGGGTGAGAAGCATTTACACAGAGGGATTTGAAACATTTTTGTTAACAATTATGTTTTTGTCAATGGATTTTTGGAAATGATTCTGCAACTGTTGGACAAGAATCATACTTTTTAATGTGGTGAGAAGGTATGGGATATGCTAATGAAAAAAAGCAAGCTGCAGAGAATAATACATACAGGTAGTAAAATTGAGACAGAATAGTAGGGGAGAGCGAGGCATGTTGTCACACTTTTCACACTGTCTAACATTTACGGAGAACCATACAACACAATGGTATAAAAGTCATACCAAATGAAAGAAGGAAGTCTTGGGCACATATGTTGTATTCATAACATTTTCATATCTTATCTGATTAAGGAGTTGTATACTGTAGAATAGAGAGAGTGCACTTGAGACAACTTGCCGCTATTGTCCCTGGAGAATCTGAAAAAACAATTATTTAAATCCAAACAATGCACATTGTTCAATCAAAACTTTGCTGCAGATAACTTGATTAACGTAACCTCTGAACAAAACGGATTCCCTATATCTGACTAATCAGACTCATCTTCAGAGTCACAATTCTGGCACACATAAATTGCCTTGCCGGAGGTGAAACCATCATGGGCACATTTGTTGCATTTAACACATTTCACCCAGGTCTCCTTTGGACGAGTGTTGGAAAATGGCTCAACACAGATGAGGCAGAAGCACTCTTCGTCATCTGATGATGACTCTTGTAGGCTTTTTCTATTTTTATCTGCCTTGTTCTTTGTAGGTCCAGATTTCGACTGCCCCCGTTGCTTCCCTTTCTTTTGGAACAGCTTTTTGAGAGATTGATCCTTATTCTTTTCTATTTCTAGTTGCTGCTTCACTCGTCGTTTTCTTCCTTTGCTGGCTGGTTTTCGGGGGCCAGCTTTTGGCTATGGCCGGATGTCTTCTGGAGTAGGTAGCACGCTGTCACGCTGTCAGCAAGAGCAGAGTAGGTGCTGGGGCCTGGCAGGGCAGAGTTGGGCTGTACTGATTGATTTGTTCTGCAACTTTACCTGCCTGACTGCCTTTAACATTATGTCAGGTGGTGTGGTGCCATGCTCTGTCGTTCGTTGATAATTTCAAACCATCTTCCTTCATTTCTTTCCTTCCGTAATTCCTGCCTTTACTGCCTTAATTCCTGCGTTTCCTTCTTTCCTTAATTCCTGCCTTTCCTTACATCCTTCCTTCAAAAACATTATAGCAATTACAAATAAATTAGCCTAATATCACATTTTTTTGAGAATGTTCAATGTGTTTATTTGTACTGGGGCAAGTTGTCACACGAGACAACTTGCACATCTCAAGGTTAGCTTAACATACCACTTTAGCTAAGGTATCAAAAGACTCGTTACTGTCTCCTCTATTTTGTGCAAAATAATTATTTTTAACATTTATATCTAACAATGTTGTATTGCATAAAATGTAAAGTGCACATTTTTCACTTTTAAGCAGAAAAATAAGAAAATTGTGCTAACCTCAGATTAGAGTGACCGTGACCACATGTGAACAGGAAGTTGACTATAGAAGAAGAAGTCACACAAAGTGACTATTTGATTTTTGAGATAGCGCCTCTAGTGTTGGAGTTATGAAGAGTGTGACAACTTACCCGTGAGACAACATGCCCCGCTCTCCCTTCGAGTTACTTTTAGTTTACTTAAATAATTTCATTCCTGATACTTTACACTTCAACTAATCTTATGCCCCCACATTTATTTGACAGCTTTACTACATTTTAATTTTTCCATCAACTCCCTGTCATCTCCAAACTGAGAGAATTTCAATATTGCTGATAAGAATAAAGTGCGATGACAACATCCTCCAACTTTGTCAGATAAATACACTATTCAAAAAGCCTTTTGGGTCAGTTGGAAAATGTACAAAGCTTACCACAGAGGTTTCTCACAGCCACGCTATAATCACATCACAGTCTATGATGCATTGCTTAATAAACTAGCCAACACTGTAAATACATCTCCAGCAACATTACACAACATTCACAGCAGTAATATTGATCTGTAAAATGTTTTTAATAGTAAAATAACAGGAACAATTTACTGTACTTTTATGTTAAGTACAACCATTTCATTTGGCTGATACGTAAAAGTATGTATCAGCAGGACTATTTTTTTTCCCATCGTTGTATTAGTACTTTTACTGAAGTTGGGGAGAACGTTGTTGGTTGTCAGACTTTCTTCTCTAGTGTTCATCATCAAAATATCTTCCTACAACAGTCATTCCTATATCTAATTGAAGCTCACAGTGTTTGCTTGAAATGTGTATCCACCCCATTTACCAACTTATTGTAACAAAGAGGTAATGAACTATTAAAGACACTCTGACACATTGAGACAACCAACCCCATCACAGGGATTGTCACACACTATGGCGTTGGTGGTCACACTGTCATTCCAATGGGAAACTCTTAAAAGAAGCCAAGAAGGGAGAAGGGAGAGGTTTCAAATTGAATATTAGTTTGCTGCATGTTGTTGAATTGCATTGATAAGTTGACAAATACATAGCTTAATGCTTCTTAACACAAAATGAGTAACACAGACACGGACAGGAAACACATCTTTAGACCAACACAAATAAACACATTGAGAAGAAAATAAATATGCCTCACAATAATACGCTACTCCTCTAAGCTCAACACATTCACTAGCTGACCTACGGTGATGTCAGATGTAGAGTGTGCGCACTGCTCCTAAGGAGAGCTTGTGTGCCCACTGGTTGCACGTGAGACACTTTAAAGCGACAGTTTTATGGGAGTCCCAATGTGAGAAACCAACTCCGTTCTCCTCCTCGCCCACGTGTTTTGACACACTAGCTTCATTTGTGATTTTGTATAGTTTATATGGTTAGTTAGTTAGTTAAAACTGTCACATATCATATGTAATTTCCTGCTATAAGGCATGCCATGACATGTTTAGAGAATAAACCCTGCTCTCCACTGCCTTTACCGTCTGTTCATTTCATAATCATCAAGACTGAAAATGTCCATGTTAGGTGGCCAAATAACTTTTAAATCAGCCTTCTGTTCACCACGCACATGTTGTGCATTTTCCTTTTTTATGTATTTTGTCAGACGCTTTTGAATCCACACCAAGTCTCTCAGCGGCTGCGAGCAATGAACCAAATTAACGGAAACCGATCTTCCCCAAGGGAAGGAAATATACCCCAAAAAACGTGTTCTTAAGGCAGTGAAGAGAAAGTTAGCAGTTAATGGACTAAAACTCCCTTCTAGCTCATATCCTGATATACCCCATTGATGCTAAGGGACCGGGAAATCGCTACATAAAAGAAAAGTTGATGTAGAATGGTGCAAAGAGATGTAGGCTTAGAGAGAGACTGAGGGGAAAGGGAGAAGGAGAGAGACGGAGGGAGGAGGTCGGTGGGATGGAGGGGTCAGGGGGGTGGACGAGATCAAGCGGGACACGGGGAGAGCAAAGACAGTGGGGGAACAATGACATGAAAGCGCCGAGCTGGAGATCACAGACTGGCTTGGCACATCTGAGGAGGCACAAAATATCCTGACCTCTGCTCACACTCACACGAACCCACATGCATGCATGCAAACACTCGTCGATGCACATATACACGCGAACAAAGACGCACACGCAGCAGGGAAACCGTGAGCACAGCCAGAGGCGCTGCAACAAAGAGAAGTCAGTTAGGAAACGGCACGATCATCACAGCTCTCCCTCGACCTTTACGGCCTCTGTGAACTCAAAAGTACACTGTAGTACAAATAAGAGCTGAAAAAACTCTTGTTTTCCTGAATTCTAAGTGCTGGCCGATAAACAGGCATAGCACGGACAGTTTCCAAATGACCTAAATTTACCTTAGCGCATTCGGCATTTGGATCTCACATTTTTTTAAGGTGATTTCAAATATGTGAACATGTAGGGTTTGTTAGCGTCCTCGTTCCACAATCAATAAAATGACATTATCCGAAGGGTATTGTTTCAAGACTTAGTGCTTTTTGCCATTTTTGGTGGATCAAAATGACTTGTTAGCAGTCTCATTGGGTACTTAACAATATCAACCAAATGAAGAAAATGACATCGTGTCCATCTTCAGAATATGCTTTGTTTGAGGGCTGTTGGGATAATTCACGTGGAAGCATTTAATACCTCACTTAAATATGGAGCTAGAGCTTAGCTTAGCGTAAAGACTAATGAAGGGGTCGAGACAGCCAGTTTCCGACCAAAGGTACATTCAATTTGCTTACCATCACCTCTAAACCCGACCCAATGAATGATTAGTATGTATTGTATTCAATGCTAGCTGCCTTATACTTAAAGGAAAGCTTTCCTAACAAATGTATGAGTGACGTACAACAGTACAAGTCCCTGCTTTTGTTGTTTTATTATAGATCGTTTGTTATATAACATTGTGAAGTTGCATGTGAGTGCACTGGAGGTGAGTGAACTATGCAGCGCTTACTGGCTAAGCTTATACAGAGCCAAGTGTTGAAATGATGGTTGCTGCAAAACAATGATTCTGCACATGAGCCTGAACAAGAGCACAAAGCATTCAGAAGAGGAAATATCCATTGGCAGAGTGTGTCCTTATCTTTCCCTTCCCTCTTTTCAGAGTTTTCCCTCGTGGTGGTTGGAAAATGCCGCTGCTTCCGCTGGAGAATGCGGGTATCCGAATGAAAGTCTATATGTATAATCTATGGCGTGCTTCACTTTGGAGCACTCTCTCTCTCTCTAGTTTCTCTTTATAAGCATTCTACACAGATGAATGGGAGGTCATATCAGTGTGTGCAGCGCGATATGAGAGGCCTGCTTCTGTTCTCATTACAGTTGAGTAGTGACTCTCTGTCTGGCTCTAAATAACAGGGAGCTCCTTGGAGGTTTTCGGGGAATGTTAAAAGGCAGAGGACACACAGACACACAGACACACACACACACACACACACACACACACAGATGTAGCACTGCCACAGAGGAGGGTTATCATCTAGCCCAATTACCTTCCTCCCATATTTCCCAGAATGCAACTTCAGCAGCATGTGGCTGCAGCTCCAAGTAATTGGCATCGCCCCGGCCTGACAGGGGGAACCTCTGAGAGATGGGCAACCGTGCCCCGCCGGTGATTACCGACACAAATGATAAAGTGCAGATCCAGCTACATGGCTGTGGAACAGCGGGGTGAGCGCAACTCTGTCCTTTTTTCACAAAGTAAAACACGTGCTGTTGATTGGGTCGGTGAAGAAATCCATGCATTTAAAAAAAATTAAAGTGGTTCAATGTTTAACATTGGCAGGACCCTGTTGGGTTTATACATCTGATACTGAAACATTATGTAGTGTATTTTGGGGAGTGATTGCAGTTCTAAGCGGGGTCATAACACAAGCATGGAACATGACAACGGGTGGGGGGGGGCAGTGGGGTTACTCACAAAGCCGGCGCAGTGCTCGCAGAACGTGGGCTTTACGTAGGTGGCCTCCGTAAAGGTGTGGATGAAACCCATCTTGCAGTTCAGCAGAGAGCTGGCTTTCATAAAGTAGTCTATCATTTCCTCTCGGCTGATCTTCCCGTCTCTGTGTGAAAAAACAAGGAGTTGAGATTGAGCTCCTCTCTAAACAGCATGGACGTCTGATCAATGAAAAAAAGATGCAAAACGCTCACTGGTTTTTGTCCAGTTCACCAAACTTGCTGAGGTATGGGAAGTTGTTCCTGATCGCTTCAAATTCCTCCCTGGAGATGTGGCCGTCACCGTCCGAGTCAAAGTTCTTGAAGACGGACTGTGAACATGAGGGTTGTTTAGTTTCGGTGGGAATTCTGCCTCAGCGCTTCAGAGAACCTGACGTGTGGGACACGTGATATATGCGATGTCATTACTTAAAATAACAATTGTTGTGTTTTCGTTATGTGTGTGTGTGTGACTGAATAATTGCGTGATTGGGTTAGCTGTTTAAAATAACTGTTTAAAGTTATTGAGTCTTTCTTCTAGAAGAGCTTGAAAGTATAAAGCTTCAATAGCTGAATGTCACCACAACATCCACAGTTCCAAACATTTTAAAAGCAAGAGAGGAAAAGTGGATGGTGTAAGCCACAAATTATAGAAATTGACCCATAGCTTTTCAACCCGCAGCGCAATACATAAACATAACACCTTTTTTAAGATGAGCCTCCAGGTCTTGGCCATTATAGATTACCTTGGGCAAGGAGTACTTTGCTATTATCTCATCAAGGTGGTGGTGGGGAAGACAACAACAGTGTCCCTCTGGCTACAATCAGCAGTGAGGGGAATGTGATGCAGGCGGAGAAAACTCACTTCCACCATCTTCTCTATGTGTTTCTTGATGATCGTCGGGTCGGCGTTGGGCTTCACCGACACAGCCCACTCGTCGATCATGGTGGGCTTGGGGTCGGGCGCGCTGGCGGGGCTGGAGTTCTGCTGTAAACAACGAGAAGCCAAACACGGAGATGTTAGTGTCAGCTCAGCAGGAGATCGCAGAAGCTGTTCTCATGTTAAATAGAAAGCACAGCTGCTGTGAAGTCAAATGGTATAACAACGGATCACAAAATAAAGAGGAGAACAAATTTCTAACAAGCATTCAATTGTGACCATCCCTCATATGAAGGCAGTACATAATTGCCAAGGATGGAGTCCGAAACGGGACCTACAGTCTCCAGTGATGTGATGCTCACCGCCGGCTTACGAGGTTCTCTGTGCAGCGACATCTGGTAGATCTCCTCCTCTGTGTGGTACTGGTCCAGAGACACCTGCACAGAGGAGGACACAGGACTTGTTTTTGTCTTCAAATAACCCAGTCTCCATATTTGACTTAATGCTTCCACTGTATGATGCTGCAGCATTTCTTGGGGGATGGGGTGTGGAGGGTGGATGCACGTGCTCTGTTGCACCGGAAATATCATTTAATCACTTGTGAACTTGAATTTTTGAAGAAACATTTTTTTGACTGATGTATAAAAATTGTTTTCTGTAACATATTTATTTAACCCAATTGAGGTAAAAAAAACAATAATTTCAGGAGGTGCACACAGCTCTCAATCCTTGATCAAAGCTTTTAAAAATCCATAAATGTTATCACACTCAGACGATCAGAATAATCAAAGCTTTATAGCTTGTGCGTGAGCTCAGATTATATTGGTACGTATCATCAAGAATGAAAATCAAAAACACCCATGGTATTTTATGTACAGGTATCTGTAGGTAATAAAAGTGTTTGGAACTGCCAAGCCTCTCTTCTCCCTCACAAACCAAATCCATTCCTTCACAGATTCCAAGCAGAGCAGCCTGGTAGAGGCGTAGTGCAACCGCAAATATATGCTTCCACAGCTCTTCGCTGGGTATTTAGCACAATTTTATCCATACAAGCTGAACGATTCATTTTGAGAATTGTTAACTACTTTCACTTAAAAGAGTAGCTAAAGCAACAGGTGAGAGAGCAGCATCTGTGTTTGGTTTCTGCTCACATGTCGCAGGCAGCTGTGGCGTGTAATCACCTACTTTTCCTCAGAGCTATGCACCTGCTAGAATTACGTTTCGTGTGTATTATTGACTCACGGTGCAGAAACAAAACACGCTTCTCTTCCTGTTTAGCCTTCTGCTTCAGCTCACAGTATTTCAAAAGTGAAGGTAAACTAACTTGCGCAAAACATCCAGGACTCTTCCATTTAAAAGGCTGATTAGTTCAACTCAAAAAGGAGGGTAGGTTGACAGGCCTGTTCAGAGATTATTTTTAACGAATGTATTGACTTTCTTTCCATCACTCCACCGTTCACTCTTCTCCCTTCAGACTCAAGATAGATAAACTACAATAAGCACTGGCATAAGATAATTGGGTATCAACTCTGTCCAGCAAGCTTCCCCTCAGCCTCTCAGATCTGGAACCTGTCAAGTTGTTTTGTAACATTTTCACATAAAAAAAAGGTGAGCCAGCTGAAATCTCCGACAAACAACTGAGTGATTAATCTATTGGGATTGTTCAAACACAGACACCTCTGCAAATTCAGGAAACTCTGCATCTGCCAAAGAGTGTTCACACGTACCCAGGGGTTTTAGTGTGACGTTCAAAAACAACACCCCCGCTTCCATGCAGGCAGCCAACCCTGAGATCAGTCTCACTCACTGTAAAATAACATGAATACATCTTACTCAAAATGGGGAAACCGTGATCGTCTCCATGCAAATGGTATGACTGGTGGATGTTTTCTTTCTTTCTGCTGTTTTTTTAATAATAAATCTCAGTTTGATACAACCACAAAAGGAAAATACATTTTTCATCAGCAAAGACATAACATTCTATATGGGGGATTTCTCTGATGAACCTTTTTAGGTTATTTCAGGGCCAATGCTTTGTGACAGCAAAAGTCCCATGATGTTAAATAAGCAAACAGGTACAGAGACAAGGTTTCAGCACAGGTTAGCAATTTCCAGTTCAGTAAAGTTCAATAAAGAGATGCTTGAATGGGGTTTGTAACTCTGTGTCATGGATAAAACCCTAATTCTAAAAAGGTGGGACTCGGCAACCAAATAACAGTTATAGCAGCCAACCAAAGGTGTAGTAGTAATTGCAGAGTCCTCTCTGTTTCACTGAATTGCCTTTTTTTAAATTTAGGCTGGGTCCATTATTACATAGGCTTCTAAATAATAATCATTTTGTAGCTTCCAAATAGACGTCCTTAATATTCAGATGCAAATATTCAAATTTTGGTTGTTTTAGCAAGTCATCCAGTCCCTCTAAACATATTTTCCCATGTGACTTAATATATTGTAGATTTCTGCATGATCGACTGTGGATAAGATGATGTGTATCAGAGTATTACCTACAGTAATTTTATCAGGCTCCATGTTGACAGATGAGACTATATGAGCATATTTTAATTGCCAATAGCTGAACTCTTTGTGGCAGCTCTCTTTGTTGGTGAAAGTACTGTAAGCCCATTAAGGAGGGCTTTTCTTTCTTAGTAAACTATTTTAACCATGCTCCTTAACCCCACCCCCACCTTTACTCCTAAATAAGATATAGGTATATACATAACCTTCACTGGTTGTCTCAGAATGCATCTTTGCGGGTCAAGAGGCCACATATTTACGTTACTTTTTTAGCGATTTCTCTTAATTTGTGTCGTACGGCACCTACCTTGGAAAGTGAATGGTGCAGCAGGGGTGTAGACCACCTACCTCCTGGGTTTTTGTATGGGTTAAATAGAGAACTCCACTGTTTGGAGTTGTACTCATCTTGTGCATACTGAATGCACTCTGTACCGTTGAACCTTCCTTCCACTTAAAATTGCTTCAACATTTTATGGACACTAGCGGGCTCAGCAATGTTTTCCCCACAATAGTCACACAGTAAAACAAACAAGGTAACCACTAAAGGTAAGGGAAGGCAGGCCGCCCTTTGTTCTGAGCACTGGATTTAGTTTGTCTATGGAGCCTCGGGCTCAGAAGAGATCCTTGATAACGGCTTTAGTTCCTCGTGGTAAGGGGCTGTTTGATGGCAAAGTAAAATGCTAAAACTATTACAACAGTATTTTACTTCTTATAAATACAGCAAACTGATATTGATTGTGTCAGAAAGCCAGCATTAAAAAGTGCTGATGTATTATTTGAACGAGGTAGACATTTAGTGTTCATTGGTTTAATTCATGTCCAAGTATCGACAAAAAACACTCTGGACCACATCTGCTAAAATAAATAAATGCTGTGAGGTTGAAGGTTCATGCATAGAAATCTGTGATTACATATAATCTCTCGCCTCTTTTCTGTGCACAGATTTTGTATTGTGCAGTTTGTACAGTTTGACCATGAGCCAATCAAATCTCAGCAGAACAAATTCTGTGCATCAAACAGCCCGTTAGACTGGCAGGACATAAAGTGTTTTGTCCTTCTCAAAGTTTTTCCTCCTACTTCACTGCTGCCTGAGTGGTTGATGAGGGGCTTTGAATTCTGCACTTCATAATGATTAAAAGCATCTTATACAAGCTGTTTTGCGAGGGTACATCTGGATTTCAGGCCGGACGTTGTGGATGCCGCACATCTGTCCACATCCACATTCTGTCCACTCACCGTGAGCAGGTTGAGCAGGTCTGTGTTGGCGTCGACGTGAGGTGGTGTGGTCTGGATCAACGCCAGCTCTTGAAGGATGGCGTACAGCTGTTGGGCCTTCGCCAGGTTGACCCGCGTTTTCTCTTTGTCCGCCCAGTCTGGCAGCGCCACGTGCACGGCTATCAGGTCTTTCAGGTGCACGCCGAGTATGGGGAAGCGGAAGCCAGAGCACTCGGAGAAGCGCTTTCGGTATTGACTGTAGTTCCCACACGACGTCACCAGTTCAATGAGGTTGTTGAAAACCTGCATGTTGAGTGAAATCATGGGGTTGGAATTTTAGGGTGGACAAAATGGAAGGGGGAGGAGATGGAGGTTCGCAGTAAACAGAAAGCTCGGGAGAGATTTGTTTATAGGAATCAAAAACATTCTTGAGAACTTCTTCTCCAGATGGACTTACATAACAGACAAGACTAACTTTCCAGTCATGGAGCTCAAATGCACTGTGTGGGAGTAATGGGCACAGTCAGGGAGCTTGGCAGCTCACACGGAAGACATATGCAATATAGATACATCGGCATGCAGTGAACATTGAATTTCCCTGCTAGTGTTTGGCTGTGGGCGCCAGAAAGAGATCAGTGATGGTTTGTGAAGCTGGCACCTTGTTGGTCTCGGCACTGATGTGGGCCTGTGTGTCTTTGAGACGAGAGATGGAGCTGTTGCTGAGGCCGCCCACCACAGCCATCAGCGTGTTGAAGTTCTGCAAGTGCAGCAGCTTCTGCGGACGAGAGGGAACGATATATTAGGATTTAGGATCAAATTGAAGAATTGAATGAATTTGTAGGCCACTGCCAAAAAGTATCTTAAGGACAAAGAAGGCAACCAGATTTACAGAATGAGGACTCAGATGAATGCGGGTGTGAAGAAAATAAATGCTTTAAGTCAGAGTCTAGTGTTCAGCAGCCCAAATGCACATCATCCACACACTTGTACATCAACATATTACTAAAGGCTGTAACTTTAAACCCTAAGCTGATACTTTGTGAATGGCACTCCGCAGGGCATCCCGCTGCCCTTCAGCCTGCGTGGCATCTCACAGAAAATCAATGGGGTCACAGCTGTGTGGGTGGGCTGCCAGAAGGGGATCATTTGACTCAGCTAAAACACCCTTTGGAATCAATTGGCAAAGCAGTGTGGAAGGCAGCCGACCATTCGGGGAGTACAGCTCTACAGTGTATGGGCGTTACTGTTGGCGAGGCCTTAGAGAGGTTTCATCGTAAAACATGCAGGGGCTTTCCTCTGCGGGTGGAATAAACCCTCTGGGTATGATAGTGTCTGCTCATGGACGCATCCTCAAAAAAGATGACGTCAAAGCCAGAAGGCGCAGACGCGTTCGCCCAGAATATGTTGTGAAATAAATCAAATTGGACTCAAAAGATACATTTTAGCATTTTCGATCATATTGCAATTTATGTGGAGTCTAGAACCAGAACGAAGTGAGTCGTTGGTAATTTGCCCCTAACAGGAAGCTGAAATAGGACACAACAAGCACACCCTCAGGGAAGCTTTGGGAAATGTCAAGCATGTCAGCGCCACCTTGAATAAACTTGTAATCAGCCAGACCATAATATTTGCCCCAGCATGTACTCACACTGGGCTGCATATCTGAACACTGTTTTAGATTCGCAACAAATTCACAACTGGATTTACAGCTCGGAGGGTCCTTCGCTGATGTACAGCCAGATGTTCACCCATTCTGTATGAAGTCCCAAAGGACATTTGACATTCAAAGTGGTGAACACTAGTAATCATTGTGTCTCCAGTTCAAGATGTGGATGTTATACTAACAACACGTATAACAACATCTGATGTATGGAAACATTCTAAGTATGAGTCTAATGAGTGACAGCGATACCTGCTTGGAGGGACCATATTCCAAAGCCCCGAACAGGGACCCTTAAGCGCACGTCCATGTAGTCACAGGTGTATGCACTCACACTATTTATGCTACTTAGGCATGTTTGCATATTAACATATGCTAATTATTATTAAACAAGTTCAAATAAATATGAACGATGCAAGCATCACAGAGATGTTTGGCGGCGCTGCCGAACGTTATTTTTAAATCTAAATTTATTTTATTTTAAATTTAAAAAACGATCTAGAGGGGGGAGCACTGGACAGAATTTTAAGATGACATTTATCTTATACATAGGATTGGTCACAAACAGCATCTGTCAAAGCAAACCGAAACACTGGAAAGAGTCCAAGCAGGATGAGACAAAGGGGTGGGACAAGAGCTGTGTGAGTGTCAGAGTGCAGATGTATTGAGACAGAAGAATTTGCTAAACTCTACTAACTACTGAGACCCTGTTAGACAGAAACTTGTTGTGCAACTGATGGAAATTAAGAAAATGGGTAACCGCTCAGGAGTAGACTAGCAGTAATGAATGAGGATGCATCCACATCAGCATTGCAGACCATCAGGATGAAAATCATTTTTCTGGTCCACTGAAGCTCCCTCGCACAGGGGAGATAAGTGGACTGTTGCATAGAGGGACAACCCAGTCCATCTGGCAGACCAAATGAGCAAATAAAACTGAAATGTTCTCAATAACTGTAAGACCAAGACTGCTGGTAAGTTTCTGTCAACAAAAGGATGACATAGTCTCAAGAGATATTGGCAGAGGAGCACAGAAGGCAGCGAGTATACAACTGTGTTTGGGAATTAGTGGGAGGGACCAGATTGAGATTAGTGACATGTTTGAGAGTAGATGACTGTACATTGAGTACAGAAATCAAATCAAACAGACTCTAGATTCTAGTAATAGACAAATAAAGGTATTACTGCGTTATGTACAACAATGGAGGAAAACACATTACAGAGTTTTCAGATATTAAAGGAAAAATACAACTTGGAAGAGTGTGATTTTTTCAGACACTTTCAGTTGCAGTTGTACTTTCTAAAAGAAATGAATGAATGGATAATGATAAAACTCAAAGAAGTAATCCAACTAACAGTAAGCGTATACATAGGAGGCTCCAAATCAGTGATTTCAAAAGTTTACCAGGGAATTAAAAGAGGAAATAATGAAGAAGAAGCAATAAGAAACTATGTGCAAAACTGAGTTTTCCATGAACCTTGTTTGTTGCTTTATCCCCCACAAAATGAAGACAAACTTATCTACAATAAACCAGGCAAGCTGGAAGAGAAAAAAAACATCATATATTTTGGGGCTGCCCCAAAATACAAATTTTCTGGGAAAATATTTGGAGAACTATGCCGCATATCCTTGGGCAGCAGATCCTGTACACATGCAAGTCATTCTATTTAGGCAATCTACCAGAAGCAATAACAGGAAATGAAAGCTACCTCTTGAAAACAGCAGTAGCAGCGAAAAATTGTGCAAATTACCCACAAATGTCTCTGTATAAAACTGGACTGAAATAGTTAAAGAAATCCACGACATGGAAAGATTGACTTTCCTTCTGAGATCAAGAAGAGGTGAATACACAGCAAGGTGGGCAAGATGTATCAGATATCTGGTAGAACAGGAGACTGAGCAAAGGCGCCTTACCTGCGTCTTTGTTCTCTCATATATTTGGGGATTTTGTCCGCAAGGGTTGTTCACTATCTTCAAAAGTAAAACTACCACAATTAGATGTGATCTTATGCATATAATCTTAGACCTTAGATCTTCGGTTTTGACAACGGAATAAAATTCCTACAATCTGTCAGTTGGATAAAATATATGGTTGACTTGATTGACGCGGGTCACATTGTTAATGTGTTGCAAGATTTTGTCACGTCTGTATTTATTTATTTTATATTACCTATGTAGGCAATGGTTTATGTGTTTTCTCCTCCCCGGTCTTTGCTAAGTGCATGGATTTTTGGTGCATGGATGGTTTGGTTTCCCTTTTTTCTTTTTTCCTGTTTTCTTAAAAAAAAAAATTGTATTCTTCGTATAAAGTATTCTTTTCCCCTGAAAAAAGCCCCACTAGTAAAAATGCTTAAGTATCAAAAAATAAAATGTGTTTTTTGTTACCCACAATGCACCAGTTTCCCACCCATCTTTTATTTCTCTCCATACCTGATCATTTACTGTATATGCAGTTGTGAGTTATGTCCAATGCATACATATCCACTGATCGTAGAATGCTTCATGTATTTATTTCTAACCAACAGCAAGTATACATACTGTGTAATGAAAAACTACAGGTGATTATCATTCTTTCAAATGTGTTTCAAAGTGCTCCACCAGAGACAATTTCACAACCCTTAAGCCCATAGCCTTTAAATAATGCCAAAAATGCACAATTACCCAGCTGAAACAGTTCTTTCTCAATTCCTGGAGTAGGGTTTCCCCTGACAGCAGCATCGTATTAAAGAGCACAGTAGGAATCTTTACATGCTAATGTAATGCTAACTCTCTCCCCTCTTGCTACTGTGGCCACAGGAAATGGTCCCTCATAAGTCTGCTTCTACATGGATCCTGAACCCCACCGCTCCCTCCAACTCTGTCTTAAACCCCCCACAAACGGACCTGTGCCACTCTGATGAAGTGGGAGATGACGGTGGCCCTCTGCGGGGCAGTGGGCTTGCTGAGCACCATGAGCTGGATCCATTGGGAGACACTGTTGAAAAGGGTGATGAAACGCTCCAGGATTGGGTTTTCCACTGTGCAGCCGTGCATCACAAAGCTGTGGTAGTCCTGAAACTAAAAGAGGAGAGTAGCATTACACATTTTATTTCATTCTTTTAAATGGGACCAAAAGCTCACAACCCAACGTTTCTATTGGTCTAACGGAGAAGATCTAACAAAAGGCATTACTGAGTTGCCATTTGGGACATGGAGAAGGCAGTGTTTTTGTTCAACCTTATCCTTCAAACTAATATCTCTCTTTGATGCTTTGAATTTTACAAGACCTATTGGTAGCATTGGTAGCAACATTGTAACAAAGCAGATAACTGACGAAAAATGTTTAATCGTGATTAAAAATCATTGCACATTTAGACGAGATGCTTTGTATTTTTTGTAAATGGCTCATTTGTATCATGTTCATGTCTCACAATCACTTTTACAAATAAAAAAAATCACCAACGCAGTCCTCGCCGTGCCAACGCCAGCACACTTAAAGTGATCTAAAACATTCAACCGTTACACTCAGTCATCGCCTTTGCTTCCCAAAATACCACTCAAAGAGCCAAATGTTTCTACAAAACAAATGTAGTGCCATTCAAAATCAATCTTAACCACTACTGCTTAGCAACTACAACAAGCCTGCCTCATGTGACATTCCTAGAGAATTCAAAGAATGTAAGAGCTGTAAACATTACAGTATAAACAGCTTCAGCACAGACTGCGTGCAAACTGACCAGGATTTTGCAGAAGGATTTGTACTCCAGGTAGGTCAGATGTTCAGCCAGTTCACAGGAGTCGAGATGGTCAAACAGCAGGGACATTTTCCTCTTTTTGGACATTGATGGGACACGTTGAGTCACCTGCCGCTTCCATTTATATGATGGCCTAGGAGGGACAATAAAGAAACGTTTTCTTTTTTACAAATGCAAAATGTATTTCTGAAGGGACATTGCCTCAGCTGCAATAAATCACAAATCTCCTCCGCAAAGCCAACACTAAAGGGAAGTAATTGTCACAGACAGAGGTTTGCCTTCTGGGCTTTCTGCCAGGCATTTCCTTGGATTTAGGCAACAAACGTTACTCGGTTAGATTTAGAAAAAGACTGAGGTTTGGCTTTCAAGAGAGAGTGAGAAGTCACTGACCCAGCGTAGCATTGCTCAGCAAATTGTGAGAACAGGCAATAAAAGGACATGCTGACATATACACCCACAGACCAAGACATTCATTCTCGCTGTCAACAGCACGCAAGGCTTTCAGCAACTCACACACTGTCGAGGTCAATGAGCTGGCTCTGGCTCTCGTTGCCCTCTGTGTTCAGGAGGTCTTTAAAGTCTTTGATCTGGTCCGCCAGCTCCGGGCTCAAGTTAAACTCTGCTGGAAACTCAGAGATCCAGTACCTGTAAGGCAGAACGAAGGGATGAGAAGACAGACTGACGAGGAAAGGTTCTAGGGGTGGGAGGGGGGAAAGTTGTTTACATCTGCACAATACTGTGACACTCAAGTTCAAGTCCTTTCCGCATTTTACTTGCTTTACATAATGATAAAAAGTTACTTTTTGCAGGTAGAGTCACTATTCAATTGTAAACTCTCCCACACGTACTGTACATTAATCATCAAACCAAAGGCCCCAAAGGAAAAGCACAAGCAGGCGTTAAAGAACACATTGAGGGTTTATTACTTGACGAGGTGACATATTCTCGTTCGGCGCTCGGCAGTGCAGCTCTCCTCTTGAGATCTGATCTCAAAGTCAAGGTGCAACGTTGCTGCAAAATTTGCTTTTTAAACAAATACAACTTTTTCATTAAGATCTCCCAGGTAGCAAAAGGCAATGTTGAAGGATACTGGAGCACCAGCTTCTTTGCCATGTCGGTTGAGGGGATATACCACGGGTGCATCATGAGAAACATGCGTACCAAGGAGGTGTCCTTCAAAGTGCCGCTTCCATCTAGAAGAAGAAAATAGGATCATCATCAGCAGGATATATTTACCTGATGTCTATTACTGTGTGAGACATTGGCCGCCCACTAATTTAATACTGTACAAATACAACATATCATTTCATTTAGTAAGCAACGTGTTTTACTGACACACATTAAAAGGAAAGTCTTCAAATGACCCACCGAAGGCTTGGATGCACGCTTCCACTAGCTCGTCCACTGTGGCCGACTGCTTCGACAATATGGACTCCATCTTTCCCTTTTTGATTAAATACCCCGTCCTTTGTCTCGCTGGTCTGATTCGTTCCTGTCACTGAATACAGAAGAAGATCGAAGGATCAAAGGGGAGCAAAGAGAGAGTAATTGCCGTATGAAGAAAGCAAAGAAAGATGAAATTGAAATTATTTTTGGCCGTTGCTGCATGTTTGAAATAGTTGTGAGGTCATTTATTCTTCATACCGCTCCACAGTTAGACACCCACTGAATGTTTATACTAGAGCTGGTGATATATTGCTTTTAGGATGATAGTAGGGTAAGCTTATGCTACTTTCACAATTTAGTACATGATGACATTTACTAAGTAATCATCACAATATAGCTATGATGAGTAAATTAGTAAAGTCAAATATTCTACTAAATATACTAGAACAGTCTGGTATTTTATAAAAATCTTTTGTTCAGTGTAATCCATCCTTTAAGAGATGACAATAGTATCATATGACGATATCCAAATTCGGACACAATATCTATTCTTCTATGGCCATTTCAGTCGATAAATTGCCCAGCCATAGCATCACCCTGAGGGACGAGTAATGTTTGGTAAAAAAAGAGATATTTTTAAAAAAAAGGGCCTCTCTAACATACACTAACAAACCCCATAAGTCTCCTAACTAATTAATTTACTTGAGTAAAGGAATTACTCATTTTCACAGCAGATAGTAAAATCTAGTAAAAAAATACCAACTGAAATATTGACTTGCATTTCAACTTTAAATCATAAGATTATTCCCGCTGGTCTTGTGGGTGAGCGGAGAGCGCGGATGTCCTCCAATCAGAGGGTTGGTGGTTCGATTCCAGGCACTTAGCCCCAACATTACTCCTGTAGCTGGGACTAGTGTGTGTAAAAATGGTGTGAATGGTAGTTACTGATAGGCAGAGGACACTGTGTATGGTAGCCGCTGTCATCAGTATGTGAATGGGTAAATGATGACCTGAAGTGTTAAAGTGCTTTGAGGGGTCAGAAGACTTGAAAGGCGATACACAAATACACAAATATACAAATATTTTACCACAATATCTAAAGTCACATTTGCATTCACTCACTAAGATAGACACCAATACAAAGTCAGCATACAAATAAGGGGATTGTGATAGCCGAATATGACAGCTCAGAAAAACTGAGAGCAACAAGAGACGGAAGTCAATTGATTATCTGTCCTTCACACACTGCAGTGCATCCTTTTATCTACAATGCATGCAGATGAACTATTACAGGCATTTTAGCAAATATTTGAACATTCATGGTGCTGCATCACACATGTTGCGGAAATAAGTTAAGAAAGAAATGTATCTGAATTTGATTGTACAATTAAGCAGAAAACCATTGCAAGAACAACGACATTTTACTCCCTAGTTACTCAAACCACATGACGCATATGCACAATATTCATGTTTTTACCAAGAGAAGTATGGCAACTCATGTGAATTTATTTTGTTTGCCGCTATCTTTTGACGTGTTTATTGTGTGTGAAGAAGTAAAATAGACTAATCCTATTTGCTATATGGGTTGCAGCTCAATCTGGTGGCAAAATGGGAGATAAAGAGAGCTCCTGGATATTTTGGGCCCATTGCTGATGATGAAGCATGAAGGTAATGCCGAGGTTGGGACAAAGTGACCCCCAGGCTGCTCGTGCTAATGGCTCTTTAATGCTGTGGTTCTGTGGCAGAGGCTGATGAGTACGTGTATGTGTCTATTGTGCCTGACACAATGAAGCCTTCCACTGCTGCCACGCGGTGGGCGGACACACTGAATTACAGGCTTCACGAGCCGTCTCAGCCACACACATGCAAACACACATTTCTGCAGAGAAGAAAGAAAACAGGGGGAAGTAACCCAGAAGCTTTAGCAATGTGAGAGTAAGTTGAAGTCGCCATGGTAATGAGAAAAGAGTGTAATAGTGAACGTCTTTCTAGCAGGACGTGATAACAGAGATATAGCGAGTATATGGCAGACTGCCGACCACAATCAAAATAATGCTGTTGCTGTTGCTATAGATAGACATGAAAGTTCCTGTGAGGATGTTAAGGTCACCACCGAAAATACGTATGAGCCATAGTCTAAAACATCAAAGAAAGAAGAAAAACCTGTGACATCCACACACCACTGCTCAAATCTCATGAATATAATCAGAAAGACAGTGGCCTCGAGTCTTTGACTGTCACACAATGAGAGGCATTATTAACAAGAGTAATCTAGATCTGGGCTGAAATGGATTTCTTCGCGACAAAGTGGGCATCTTTTACCGTTAAGTTCAGGAGAGTCTGTCATCAAAAGCCGAGGATGTTACTTTCCCTGCAGATGCAGGGTCCTAACAGGCCGTAACCGAACAAGACAAAGGGGCGTGTGCAAAGGGTGAACCTGCTCTGAATAGGGTCCGTTTGCGGCACAGGCTATGCCCATCTTGATGATGTAATCCAGTCATCATTGATTCTTTTATCTACAATACAATGCATACACATAAAGTATTACAGGCATATTGGCAAATATTTGGAACATTCATGGTGCTGCATCGCAACAGATGTTGCGAAAAATAAGTTAAGAAAGAAACGTATCATTTTCTTGGTAATTGCAAAATTCAGCAGGAAAAACCATGCCAACCAATTTTACTCCCCAGTCACTCTCACACCACACACACCTCTACACATGACGCATATGCTCCTTCACAAGAAGGCTCAGCAGAGGCTGTTCTTCCTAAGGCAGCTGAAGAAATTCAACCTGACAAAGACAATGATGGTGCACTTCTACACGGCCATCATCGAGTCATCCTCTGCTCCTGCATCATCATCATCATCATCACCGTCTGGTATGCTGCAGCCACAGCCAAGGACGAGGGCAGGCTGCAGCGTGTCATCCGCTCTGCAGGGAGGGTGATCGTCTGCAATCTGCCGTCTCTCCAGGACTTGTTCGCCTCCAGGACCCTGAAGCGAGCTAAAAAGATTGCTGCAGACCCCTCTCACTCCGAACAAAAACTGTTCGTGCCCCTTCCATCTGGCAGGAGGCTGCAGTCCATCAGGACCAAGACCTCCCGTCAGCAGTCGGGCTCATCAACAGAGCCCGGTCCCACACTGACTGACTCTGTCATCTGTTTTACATCACTCAGTTGTATCACTCTGTTCGCAGGTGCACTTTATTTTTAACTTTTATTCCTTGATTTTTAAACTAACCCATAGCCTTATATATTTTTTTCATATTTTCCTCTTGCACTATGTTGTCTTATCTGTCTTGTTGTCCATTGTCTAACAGTCTGCTGTTATGCACCAATCGCCAAGTCAAATTCCTTGTATGTCTGACATATTTTGGTAATAAATCTTTCCTAATTCCTAAACCTTATGGGGCTCTTTGTTGCGACCCTTTCATGACAATATACAAGTCTCCTCCCTCTGCCTTTCTTTCAATTCTTTAAGTATTCCACCCACATGATTACTGATTTGTGTTTGTTCCTCCAGGAGGCGGTAGATTGATTACGTAGAACACACTGTGAGAGCTTTGGTGTCATCCATGGTTGCCTAGTGACGGCGATCCAGGGCCATCGATCAGGCAGATTACGGGTGAGCCAGGGCACAGCCGGGATAAAGGGAAGTTGCCGGGTGATTGGTCAATCCTGGCCATTTAAAATCTGTAGTGTGCTGCTGGTTTAGTGGGCACTGAAAATGTCACATCGTCTGGCTAGACAGAAAGATAACCTCTCACTGGTGTCCTTTTTATCCTCACTATTATAGTCATAAAACCACTAGAAGACCGTTGCACAACCAAGCATTTCTTACCTATGAAAAGTCAAGTACTCTTCAGACAACACTTTCAAATTCCAAATTAAGAGCATTATTAAAACCACGATTTGATCTATAATATACGGTGGAGTAATACCGGAGCCCCCAGACTCAGTGTGTTGTATCGCATCACTTCACTTAATGAGTTTACGGTAACAAGTCTTCTTCAAAACGGCATGTTCTTTAAACGATGCTCCCATTTAGTAAGTAAGCTTTAGTACGAATTTGGTCCCTTTTATTCACTGGTTGTAAAAAAACAAGATGGTGACGGCAAAAATCTTTCAAAACTGTAGTCCGCAACCCAAAGGTACGTCGACCTCTTATAAGGCAATTACTCAATTAAGGACAAGCTGTGAAATTCAGCAAATTGCACTTGAATTGAATTGAGCATATATTTTCCCTTGGATGGAGTAAACTTTTTGGCGCATTGATGATGTTCTCCTTGTCCTAATCACATCAGACTAAGCCAATGCCTTCTAGCAAAGTCCACAGAATAAAATGAAACTGGCGGCATAAATCGCCATCGCATGTCTTAAATGTAACCCTAGCACCGACGGATTATCAGACACTGACAAACAAACAGATAATGTCATCCATCCTGCTATTGACATTCTATAAGGGCCTCATTTCTACGCAAGTTAACATCATGAGCTGATGAAAAGTTGCCATGCAGCGATTGATTTAGGTTTATTCCCTCCCCACTGGCATTTGGGTAAAAACAAGTTTGATTGATGTTTTCATGGAAAGTACTCAACAGCTACAAAATTAGGACACATTGATCTACTCTAATTAGCTATTAGGCAGACACTAATAACACACACACATTGTCTGTTCATTCTAGCCCACACAAACACATTCAAAGTATCCAGTATTTCGGTCCGGGTGGTGCGCCATGGATGGCAGTCTGGGGTGACTGGTTAGTGAAGGACCTCGTGATCATGGTTATGAGGAAATATCTGACAAATCGGCTTGGTGCCGAGTATGGGAACCTTTGGAGTCTGATAAGTAAAAAATAAATACTAATAAAGCCTGCGTTTTATTGTTTTACCACAAAAAATGAACTAATAATCAGCAACACAATATTATTCAAGCTGCTTTCTCTAAATATATCTGTAGAAAATTGCAACAACAAACTTATTGGCCAAGATACACCCATAGGGCTGCTTGTTGTATATACACAGACTGTGTGTGTATATATATATATATATATATATATATATATATATATATATATATAATTTGTTAACTGATATTAACATTGCAGACTTTTTTTCTGAGGTCTGTGTGCTTTCACTCCCCACAGGTTCCTGTGTATGGTGGTTTTATCTGGTTTTATCTGGTGGTTGTTCTTGCTTACTCTCAACATTTGAATCATTTCTGTCTTAGGAATTTAACGTATTGTACATCTTTTACACTGTTCATGCTGTACACATGACGTCCATTGCAGTCTGTCCATCCCGGGACGGGGATCCTCCTCTGTCATGTGAGGGTTTTGGGACAGGGGATGTCACATGTGTACAGACTGTAAAGCCCCCTGAAGCCAATTTGCAATTTTGGGCGCTGGATTCCAAAACGTTTTCCAAAGTGAGTGCCAGTCCTCTCAATTTTAGAGCTTTATCTCACCTCTCTGTCCTTATGAGTCCATGTGAATAAAACTACAAGACAGCAAAAAAAACACCACCTCATCGCGTTATACACACACACCCCTCTTATCCTTTACCCACCAGTTTGTTTGAGGAAGTTGTAGCAAGGGTGTTGCATGATAGGACGGATATAGTTCTTCACAGAGGCCTACGCAGCGGCTGGTGACAGCCTCTATTTACAGACTGCAGGGTATTGAAAGCAGGAAGGGAAACGTTTCCTTTTCCCTGGACAAGTAGAATGCCACAGCGGTGGGGGCTCACCGGCTGCAAACAGAGATTAGCCGTTAAAGTTGCTCCTCAGGGACGTTGGGGGTTAGGCAGGCGGAGGGAGGAATGAGAGATAACGAGAGAGACCGGGAGGCAGGAAGACACCGTACTCGACCTCGAGTGGAAAAAAGTTGAACTTTGTATCGAGTAAAAAGAAAAAATGCACAACTAATATTGCATACGTGTATGAAGGATGCAAGTGGCACGATTTCCAAGAGTTGAAAAGAATAATAAAATAAATATGCAGATTTCTCAATGTGCTGCTGGGACACAGCAGCTGCTAGAGTGTAATGTTTTATTACTCCCTCCAAAACAAGAAAAAGTCACGCATCCTGTTCCGCACATGGCACACTATCATATATTGCACATCTTAACTTTCTAACTTCAAATGAAAAGTGTAATGTCAGAAAGAGCTCTGCCGTGTACTTCTGTACTATCTTTCTCCCCGCAAACGCAGCAATGCATCATTGTGTCACATCGATTTGCTTTGTTATGAGGCTTCCTGCTCAAACTTTGCCTGAGAACAAATACCGGAAGGGTGTGTTGGTTTGGGGAGAAAAATGTGCGGGTCCCCACTTTTTTGTTTAAACTGTAAAAATCTATCTCAAATACAGTGTCTTTCTCAAATGGATAGTCATTCCTCTTAGATTGTGAGGATTTTTTCTCTAGATTTGGAGATTCTGTGTGCTCCTAACTCCAAATCTAGAGAGAACATTTTATAATCAGAGCTCAATTGAATATATTGTTATGAGTGAACGCTGGCATGTTGTGTAAGCCGGCATATGTGATACATTGTCTTTTGCAGAAGAATATAAGTTGGTTTCTTGGGGGTAAAACACAGAATGCTGCAATGCTGATTTCAGGATGCACACTTTCTGTTGTCACAGACTGTAATCTGGGGCAGATTTCATGCATTAAAAGAGAGAAATAAAATAGTGTGTTTGCGAGAAGAATGCATTTAGCAGATACCAGATTTGTGGGGAAAATAACATTTTCTTTCACAAATTATATTTAGTATTAGTTTAACATTCTTGGGTATACGCTTACTTGCAACCGAATGCTAAACAAGATATATAGAGATGACAAAAATGTTACAATTAACTGAAATGAACTGAAAGGACTTAGTTAAAGAAGTTCTAAGAGAAACAACTTTGCTCTAAATGGATCCATAATTCTCAAAATAAACATAACTGCTTTAAGGTAGACGCCATACTAGTGATTGAGAACATAAACTAATTTTAACAATGTTTACTGAGGTTATAAATAATAAAAAATACAATTTTCTGATAGAGATCTATACAAACAGACTTGTAACCAAAGGAGTGGTCGGCTGTTGGCCATCAGAAAGAACGCAGGTTTAAGGCTTTTACACATCGGCTTTACCGCAAATCAGCCAACCTGCACCTCTAAAGGTCACCAGTTCCTGTTGTGTGTATGCAAAACAAAAACCAAGGGCCTGATCCTATTTTTGACTGAGGACCAGTTGCTTCCTGGAGTCTCCACTGGATACCTGGCGAACCTGGTCTTTATACTAAGCGAAGCCCGTCACACACTGCACATTTGGAGAATCCTTTTGTTTTCTTTGCAGCGTTCATCTGCTTCGTTGCTGTCTGCCTGTCGGAGTCATGCTCAGTGAGCTGAACTGGGGTTTCATGCAGCAGTCATTCTGAACTAGTTTCATGTCATGCGTGCAGGCCCATGGGAGTTTCACATTCACCCAGCCTGCCTCTTCATTACCCCTGCGGGCTTTTATAACAGAGTCAGCCCTGACTAGTTCCTGTTTATGTATTCCTCCCTAAAACAGCTTGCATCCCCGTGCAGACCACAAACGCCGCAATTTCCTGCTGTCATAATACATAATTATTTATAATCTATCATTCAAAGTAGGGATTGCGATATCCGAACAGAACCAGGAAACAATGGTAAAAAGAAAAAAGAAAAGAGCCGAATAACACACTTGCACTTTTTTCTCATGCAGGGACCGGATGCAGAAAATTTGTAACGTTCTTCAATCTTATTGAAAGTGAGGCAGGCCTAACACCTGTAGCACAGAGTGCCGCAGGTCGACTGATCATGGCCATGCAATCACAAATCAGTGCAAATTTCCTGCCTGAAGTCATCACTACACTATGTTAGATACAGCAGCAAGTGAGTTTCGGTCCGCCCTCCCACAGGCCTCGTCTACTACTGTGCTCCCCCCTGACTGATTTAATTCCAGCCACAGCTTGATTTATAGCTCTTTAAGTCCGACACCCTGCCTCAACAGCTACCTTCCCCTCCCATGGCTGCCACTATCGTGCTGTCGCCTCCCTCTCCTGGCGCTCCCGCCATGCCTTTAAAGGTGAGGATAGCAGCGTGCATATTGACAAGCTGAGATTTTACAGGGTCCGTGCCCTTTCATGGGATGCTGAAGTGGTAATGGAGGAACAGAAATATCCCCAGAGGAACAGCGAAATGGTCGAGAAGAATATTTTTCTGGATTGAACCGCTGAAGAATTTTTCTTGTTTGCATCGAGAGGCAAATACACTTAGAATTCGATGACTTATTGACATAAGCATAAGCACCACTGTTGTCCTGACAAGTAAGGATCATTTATGGTGTTTAAAAAGAAAATAAACAACAACAGTTGAGAAAGAAAATGTCTAAATTCACGTGACTTAGGTGCAAGTCTTCTAGTACCACGATGAAACGGAGTAAGCACTCCTCAGTTTTACATCACACATGCTAACTGTGATTGTGGCCAAGCAAGTAAAGTGAGAAAGGTTTATAGAAGTGTGGGGCCTGTGGAGAAATAGATGGAGTTAGCTGATGGAACTTAAGATAAAGAAGGCGGTGGACACAGGCGGAAAGGGCATTGGAACGTTACACCTCAACAATGGTGAACATCCAGAACACGTCTGGCTGAGCCGCTGCTCCTGTCTGCTCTCTGTAATGATCTCCTATTTGCATTGAATTTGTCTCCTTTGTTTGAAAATTGTTCCCCCTTTTCTTCACAATGTCCCTCTGCTCTGCCTTAGTTTGATTCCTCCCTCCCCTACATCTCTTCCTCCTCCTCCTCTTCCCAGATGTGTGGCTGTTGATCCTTCGGCATGAAGCAGCAGCCATGCACAATGGACACAATTATGGCTGGCTTTCATGATAAGTGCAACACTGCTGCAGGTTGAGGAGGTGGCTGGATGTGATGCTAAATGTTAAGGGTGGCCGCTCCAGAGGCCTGAAATAATTGCACTGCGGCAGGAGAGGAGAGAGAGGAGGAACAGAGATGCAGAGGCTTTAAAAAAAGAAAGAAGTCTCTTGATTTCATTAATATACTGAGGGCTTGTAATCCTTGAAATCCTTTCTTTTTAAAGCACTATAAATCTTTCAAGTTAAGTACCACTCCACACACGCGCATGATATCACATAGACCACGGGTTACTTTGATGCCGCTGCCAATCAAATAAGGTCTATTAAAATTGGACTTTTGTCCGTCACATATGACGACTGATTTGCATCCGCTGAATCAGACGCTGATCTGGATAAACAGGTGCACACAGGCAAGCTTGTCCGATATTCAAAACAGGAGCGGGTAATCAGCAACATGAAGCTCTGGCCAAAATCCACCACATCAGAGTTTTAAAAAAAAACATATTATCTGCCTCCCACAAGGATGCGAAAGGCCGTTACAGCTACAAGTAAAATCCCACTGCTCTGACATAAAACCTGCGTGGATAAGGCAGGGGTGAAGCATGAGCCAGGACGCTGCCCAGCAAGTAATCAGCAACATCCTGGCACTCAGAGATGCCTCCTAATCCCTGCTGCTTTGAAGGCGGCGGGAGGTAATCACCTTGAATCCCTGCAGTCAGGCAGCTGCAGTCCGAACAGGTAATGAGGGGGGCTGAGTGGAGGTTGCGAGCAAGATAAGTCTGACCTTTGCTGGTGTAATCCACTGTCGAATCCCCATCAGCAGGTGTTTGGGGATATTGGGGTCTTTGGCTTGGTTCCATTTGATGGGCACCTCAGCATTCATACCTCCACTTCCCAGATGGGTCAAACAATAACTATGCTTGCTGACTTTTATTCATAACTCTTTCAGGAAACAATTCAATTTGTTCAAGTATTAGATGCATGGAACATCTACAACGTGCAACCCATGCGCAATCGCGACTCCCATATGCGTCAGCATGCGATTTTCGCAGTTCTGTGGCTGATGGTGCAAGAAGACAAGTCCTCGCACGACCTCATCTACAGTTGCCGTATAAGTTTAAACTCGTGTCTATGTACCAGGTAGATCAAGCGGGGAATCAAGGCGCGGACCTCCAGAACGAAAAAGCATCGTGGCTTCACTTAACTAACAAGCAAGTTCTGGCACATTTCTTACCTTCAGAGTTTGAAGGGTCCCATGCTCTGGGGGGCGGAGGTGACAGTTTGTGGAGTTGAGCGCTGAGATTAGAAGCGTTACATCACCAGCACCACCGAATTCAAAACGCCCGTTCAGCGGTTGGAACACCGCGGTCCTGCGGGGAGGGAGAGAGAGGGAGAGAGAGAGAGAGAGAGAGAGGGGGGGGGGGAGTGGAGGGGGAGCTCAACAACTCATCAGAACAAACGTACTCGGGTCGGATCCTTCTTTGGACTTGACACAAGCGGCTCTCTGAGTGGGTGCTCCCCCTGATAGTCCTCCGACAGAGAGTTGCACGCGATGAACTCCCGGGCATCAGGTCGCAGCTGGCACAGGCTCCTGTTCCAGATGCGCGGCTCACGATGGCACAGGAGAAGAGCCACAGTCCCGCCTACCGGTGGCAGCACAACAACACCACGGAGTGCGCATACTTGTAAGGAGCCGCTACGCGTCATTACGCACCATGACAATCCGTGTTGGCTTCTCCGCGACATCCATTGTAGAATGGGGAATTCAACCATGTGATCTTTTTTTTTTAAACATCTTGATAACGCTGCATGACAAGAAGCCTTGGCTGTAAGAAAGCTGCGTCGTTGATTAGTTAGATTAATCATGCATGTTCTACATTGAGCACGTGTTTTCACAACAGTTGTTCATAGAGCAGCGGCAGCCCACCTGTTGCTACAGCGATGCCTTTAAACGTCACATGGTGCGTTCAAGTCATGCGGGATTACATGAGTGAAACACCTAAACGTCACATAACAGTGTAAAACTTTATTTCATTGAATTTTTACAGTACAATGAAACATTTCTCATATTAGGAAAGTACAGTCGGTTTGAGAAAAGCATAATCAGCCATTAGCGTGCGAGGACTCGTGGTGAGGACGAATGGGGATATTTCCTATAGCGTTTGAATGCAGCAGTGTAGTCCTGCCCGACCAGGAAGCAGAGGACAGCTAGAAAACACAGTAGGTGTTGTTCAATACATTTGTATCAGAATTGGGCTTCATCAAGCGGACATAACAGTAAATGACAGAGTGTGAGTCTTGTACAGTAAACGTTTATAACTGTAAATGTAGAGACACAAGAAAACATTACTTTCATTGGTTGAGCAATGCCTGTTGCATTCGGTTTTTAAAGCCCAGTACGCTTCACTCTTCGAGTGCTTTTCGTACAGAATACAATTGAAAATAGTGTCCTGTGTTAATGTCATCTATGATTAATCTCAATCTCACAGTTTAGACCGGAAATGGCTTATTTTTTTAGAGTTACAAGCACAGCTAATGTTGTGATTCTTTCCCAGCAGCAGCCTGGTCTTTCCCTGGCATTCCCCTTCTTGAATCACTTTAAACAAGGGTGAAGAAGCCAAAAGTCCTTGGATCCTTGGATCTCGTGTACCAGAATGGACAGCCGGGAGGTGGGGGGTCTGCTGCAGGAGTGCCTTGGAGCAGTGGCACCATCTCAGCACTCCACCGAGCCCACTGAGGCACAGAGGCTGAACTACTGTAGCTGTAGAGGTTAGACAGAAGATGGTGCCATTTGCTCGATCTTCCTATGGACATGAGTTCTGATTGGGTTTGTGTAGAGATAGTAGGGGGTGGAATTAGTTCATATTTATGTTTTAAGATAGGGTTGTGTGATCAGAGTGGGGGAAAGTATTCTTTACTGAGTGGATCCCACACTTGGCATGAAGGTGAAGGGCAACACGTTTCTTGTGTAGCCTTAAGGGGAGATATTATCTCCTGCAAAGTTTGTACAAGTGTATCTTGTGTTATGAACTCAAGTTTGTAGGATTTCCACACACTTTTATTAAATGTATTCATATTCACTTATTTCCTGTAGACGCGCTCTGTGCGGAACTGGCCTCTCTCCTGCAGGAGGCGATGGATATGAAATGGCCGTTTGTGCCGGAGAAGTGGCAGTACAAGCAGGCAGTCAGTACCGAAGACAAGACCAACCTAAGTGACCTCATCAAGAAGCACCTGTCTCAGCTCCTGGTAACAAAGACACGGCTAAGTGATGCTTTCCTCCCGGTGTTTCTGAATGGGAATGAGCCATGTTCATGGTTGCTGTGTTGCCAGGCCGTTCTAAAGGCTTCCATCGTGGCTCAGGAGGCCCGCGCCGCACTGGCGGTGGTCTTCCTAGTCGACCGCTTCCTTTATTGGACAGACGAGTCGAGCCGGCTGCTGAAGATCACCAAGCTGCTCCACAGATGCCATCCTGATACTCCTGTGGCCCCCCAGCTGGTCATACGGCAGGCCAGGGTCTACTTTAACTCTGGTGCAGTGTGGCAGAGGGCCGCCTACTTTAATAAGATTCTTAGTTTTAAGGGGAGCACCTGGCACTGAATAAATGTTAATGGGTGAATTCACACATCGTAAATCATTCTGATCATAGTTTGGGGAAGTAATATGCAAACTCATAAAATAACATGTGAAAAACATCATTACACATTGCAATTAAAGTGATAAAGAGCTGGATAAACATTACAATCATCTTCCCTGCAGGCAAACTACAGAAAGCAGAATTCATTCTCAGCAGTCTGATTAACAACAGTGGAGCCACCGGTAGGTACCAACACATTCTTATTGCCTTTTATGCATTATGTTTCTTACAGGCTAATTGAAAACCATATTTTTGCTTTCTCATACAGGTTGCTGGGTGTACCACTATGAAAGTGACAGGGCTCTTGTGCAGGCAGTTAGTGTTCAAGTACGCGGGATGGTTCTGCAGAAGCTAGGTAAGACTTTTTTCTGATGATAGAAGAGAACTTACTCCGTTGATAAACTAATGCTATGGCTATTTTTCCCTCTGTGTCAGGCCTTTGGCGTGAGGCTGCAGAGCTAATCTGGACCTCTCTAGTTGGCTACTACGCACTTCCACAACCTGATAAAAAGGTAGGCCAGATGCAGCCTCTATATTGCTATCACAGTTGCCATATTGTGAGCTAGTAGACATGCACACTGTTGAAAACCCTTTGATAGGGCATTGGAACCTCTCTTGGAATACTGGCCAACATATTGGTATCTATGAATGACGAGGACTTCCACGCTTTTAGGACTAATCCACAAATTGATTTGGTAAGCATATCTGATAGATGTAATATTTTGTATTCAGTGTTTATATTGCAGCCTTTGTATAGTTAATTGTCTATGTCTGTTTGGAGTCTTTACTTGGTGACAGGAGTCATCGTCTCCTCTCAGCAGCCCAGGCAGCTAAGATGGCGGTGGTGTACAGCCAGTACACTTCCCTCTATGTGTTGACCAATGTGGTAGGTCCTTCTATGGATGGGTCGTTAGCACGGCTCATTGTTGCCTGACATGAATTATGATTAAATCATAAACATAAATCATTTCCCAAATCCGACATTTCTAAATCAGTATTGTACAGTAATGCAGTAGTAGACAACCATACCATTGAAATTCTACGAATCTCGGTACCCAATTTTTCTTCTACTTTTTTCAAATTTATTATCAATCACCAATAACCCACCTCAAAGTTTCTTACCAAAAACTAAATGTTACAAGATTACATTTGAACACATCACCATAACGTAATAATTTCTCTCCGACCAATGTTATATTGTGCTGAATAGACTGTGAACACTCATTAGTTCTGTTATCCTCGTTCACAGTATGTGAACAGTATGTATATGTGTCACAGTATTTCGGCAAAGACTTGGTACCGAAGAGTCCCCTCTCATAAGATAGCTATTCTTCTGAGTTTTATATCGTACTTATTGAAGCTGTACTTCTGCCTCTCTGTGCCCTCTTTATCTCTTCAGGTAACTCAAGGGACCTGCTTGTTATCGTACAATTTCTCGGTAGAGTGCCCTGACTCTCAACGGCGGCCATTCCTCCTGCAGGCTAGAGAGGCCTTTTCAATCGGCCTGCTGACCAAAGAAGAAGGCGAGCTGGTCACCAGCAAGCAAGAGCTTCACACCTTGCTGAAGGCTGCATATTCCTTAACCGTCACTCACAAATGGCTCGGCACTTCTCTGGAAGTTGTGGAGCAAGCAAATCAAGCTTGCCAAAAAGCTTTAGCAAAATTCTACGATTACTGCAATGCAGATATTCAAGACAAAGACGGCCTCTGTGCTGAAATCATGCATCTGGTCACCCAAGTCAAGCTTCTTCTGCGAGTGGAGCCTTTCATTAATACAGACAAGGGGTCTTTTATCCCTGACAGCTACAGAAACACCAAAGACACTCTGGTCAATTTTACTCTGGAAGGCTTCGCCGAGGTGATGCTGAGATTACAAAAGCATCATGCATCGCTGTGCGAGACAACCAACACAAGCTGTAAAAGGACCACGGACAAGATAGATGGGGAAAAATTATGTATAACTGCGATGGGTACAACCATTGGTACGCTCAACACAGAATGTAGCACTGAGGCCTGCAAAGTGTCAGAGGAGCCAGTAAACAAGGGTTCAAAACCAACCTGTGTGCACCTGACTCAGAGGTCTGACCCGTGTTCCACTTTAGGAAGCACGGATAACCTCGGCTCTTCATGGCAGAACGTTTCCCTGAGCAGTTCAGGGTCTCCTCGGCCCAGCGGTAGCAACTTCACAGGAGGTCCGGCTATAGGACCTCAAGCAAAAGTATGTAATCAGAATTGTCTGACCACTGAGGTTGATGATTGGTCAGACAGCCTTCTTCATTTCACTGATGAAAACAAGTCTCCAGTCAGTTCCCAAACTGTCCCAAGACCTGTAAACCCTCCCACTTCCTCTTCTAATGCCAGTTGTGCTTCAGAGAAGTTTGAAGTGATACAAGCTGGAATAGAGACACTGGACACTGGGGAGAATTGTATGATTGACGATGTGGCGGCAGAACCATCAGCCACTGAGGGAGCAGCACAGTCCTTATCCCAGTTGGCTCTTGGAACCTTCTCCAGCTCGCTCAATGACAGCTTTGGTTCCCAGTCGTCGTGGGAGAAAATATCCCTGGACCCAAACTCTCCCACAATCAGAAAACCTCAGCTGAGCAGCCCATCAAAAGAAGGAACCAGTGACAGCAGCAGGTCACCGGAGTCTGACAGGAGCTTCTTCCTCTTGGAGACCCTTGATTCTGAAACCAATGATTCAGCTCATCATCCCACACACAAAAACCACACATCCGGAGGGGAATTTAGAGATGTGTTCAGGCCCCGAACTCTGGAGAGACCTATTGTTAAGCCAAATATGCACACAGAGGTTGACTCAGTATGCGTAAAACCTGCTACCAACAACTCTTCAGCAACCCCATATCCAAACCTCTCCCAGTTTGTCCCAGAACAGTTTGCCTCCACTGAAAACTCTACCGGGAGTTCATTTGAGATGCTGGAGGACCATCAAAGTGGAGACAAACCTGCTGAAGTAATTCCCCCTCAGATGAAGAACTCCTCGTGCTACAGCTGTGTGAAGCAAAGCAGTGTAGCTGACATTGTCCCCCAGAGTCCTTACGTGTTGTCACAGCATGATTACCAAGCCCTACTGGCTGGAGTTTGCTATGAATGTCTGCTGAAGAGGCTTCACAGTGACAAAACACAATTCAAACTTAAGACACACAGAACTGCCCACAGTAAGTTTAAATTCCCAAAGTTATTGAAAATTGCCTTTCTCATGAGTACATCTTTTTGCCACGGTCACTAGAGGGTCTGTTGTTGGTCTGTAGTTCCATCACTTGTCCAGACTGAATTATCCCAACTATAGCAGGATTGCTATGGATTGTAATGGATACATTTGAATGACCTTCATTCTATATACTATCGACGTCTGCCTCAATATTTTCTGAATAGAGCCAGGAGGCCATTGCAATCAAACCAGCACAATCAATGCCCGTTAGCTCTCAGCGTTTTACATTTATAAATTAGGGTTGTTGCACATAAGTCCATAATTTCCATAACAAACATTTATTGCAATTGTATGCTAATCTCTAAATGTCATATCTATTAGGTGCTCTTCATTTAAAGTTCTCCAAAGCCACAGGACTGTGGACAGCCAGGGAGACCTGTGCGTACATCGGGGAGCCGATGGGGATGGAGGGAAAGCAGAGAGCGGCTATATGGGTGCAGTTTTTGCACCAGGAGGAAAGGTTAAGCAGGTATGCCGCCGCACATTCAAGGGACAAACTGAACCTAAACATAATTGATTTTTTTTTTCTCACTTTTCTGTGTATGCATGCCCTTAGTTATGTAGGGAAAGACTACTTGAAGCCAAAGGGGATCCAGTTTCACCTGAGAGATGTGGAGCGACAGATGACAGCCCAGCACTATGTGACTGCGTTCAACAAGAGTCTTTACGACAAGGAAGTAACGGCTCAGATCTACTTCATTCCCTCAGAAGCTCTGTTGGTGAGGCCGTCATAACAACCGCAGCCAACATTAAATAAATGTGTATATAAATTACTTTATTTAAGGAAAGTAGCTGTGTCAGATGTTACATTTGCATTAAAATGACATGATCCCTGATTGCTGATTCAGAAGGACCCCGTACACAAACACATAACTTAGAGACAGCAGATAGCAGAAGGAGCCTGCGGCAGCCTTGGAGCGATGTTGGTTGAAATTCAAATGTAATCCCATTATACCCTCCAGTATTGCCAGAAATAGACTCCCTGCTCTCTGTAGTAGAGCCAATACTTTGTTTGTTAGTACTGTGATGTTCTACAACCAGTTAAATAGGAAATAATGGTACAAATAGTTAGTGTTTAGTTTTCTCTTAATTGTCTGCACCATCTGCACCATCAAATGAACTGGCCCAAAAGAAGTATTTGTATTATAGATTCAATTTACAATTTGGGCCTGAATACTTCCTCTTAAATGAAGCACATTGTAGTAAGACTGCAACACTGTCTTTGTGAATAATTTGAGTGGCGAAAGAACATTGAACACTACATGAAGCGTAATTAGAGATACAGTAAAGCCACAGGATTTCAGGAGAAGATGATATTCCCCAGCATGTTTAATAGGTTGCACGCAAAGATGGTCTTTTAATGTTTCCCTCTTGTTTGTCTAACTTTGAATAGATTCTGAACGGAAATCAGATCGCAGGCTGTGTAACAGTGGAGCCCCACATGCTGGGAGACTTTGTCAAACTGACCAACAACACTGTAAAGAAGGACAAGAGTATACAAGCTACAGAATACGGCATCGCCTTCGGACACTTTACCTGCCTGCTCTCTGACTACCAGGAAGTTGTTGTAGACCTGCAAGGTGTGTGTGTGTGTGCATGTGTGTGTGTTACTGATATACTCCTGTACTCCTGGTATATTCTTAATAGGGTCATTTCAATCCGGAGAGACTTGTTGAAATTTGAACAATGCTTTATTATAACAGGTATAATATGATATTGCAAGTTGTTTGGGGCTTGGACTCCATCCTGCCGCAGGATAGACCCGGGGCCGGGAACTCGAGCCGAGACGAGGCATATCCCCCCCTTGGGAGTCCAGACACTGGTGGTGGTGGTGGTGGTAGAGCCCAAGTTGCATAACTCTCCTGCTATGCCAGGTTCTGCTGTAGATTGGAGGTGTCAGGGGTGGTGGCGGGTCACCTTTGGAGCGTGCTGAAATGACAACTGACAGCACAAGAGAGGAGAACAGTTAACGTTTGCCTGCCCCAATGCGATTGGTTTACGGTAACGACACCCACGTCTGATACTACCCGACCCCGCCCCTAATCAGCTGGCCTTGCGCCCCCTGGGAGAGAGGAGGCCACCAGGGAACGGCACAGCCTGTCCAGTCTTCCTGACTGAATTTTCGCCTAAGCTTCATTTAATGCTATATGTACATCTATCCTTTTTGCAGGGTGGGTCACAGCAAATGGCAAAGGACTGACCTACCTCACTGACCCCCAGATTCACTCCACCAGGACCCCCAGAGGCCCCTCCAACTTTGCTGCCCGAGGCCTCAGATACTTCCTGGAGGAGCAGCATGGCCCAGAGTGCAATGTGGTGTGCCAGCTGCTCCGACTGCCTCCACTGCGCCGACAGCCTCACGAACTTTGAGGAGTTGTCGATGTTGAGAGTTTGTGTTTGCATAATTCAATGATCAATCCAGGTACCGTTTGTTCCAATAGCACGACAATGCAGTTCAGCGTCATAACAACAACGTAGCTGTGCAGAAAAGTAGAAATGAACAAAACTAGGAAAATATTTTGAAGTTTAATTACATTCTATTTGAGGGGCTAAATACATGAAAGTTACAGCCATCTTATTAAAAATGATTTGATGATAGCCACATGATAGCAATCTCAAGCTATTTTCCACTGCAATACATTATGGAAAATTGCCCTCTATTCACGTGTGACACGTGTTTTACTTTGTCATACTCGACATACATACTCCGGTACTTTCCCTGTTTGGCTGTCAGATTGTCTTTGTGTACTCATCGCTCTCCAGAATTTTCTATCGGTGTTTGCGTCAGTGGTTTATCATTTTACCTGCTCTCAACTCTTAGATTTGCCTCATGCCTGTTGGAATTGTTTGCCTCCATTGACAGACCTCCCGTGCCGAATAAAAGACCTTGCCTACTACCCCGGCACCTTCTCTTGTGTTTTCCTCCGCTCCTGAGTCGGTGCATGGAAGTTTCCATCATTGCCGCTGTAGAGCTCTGATCTTGTATTGCGCCCATTCACACACAGCTATTTAGCTCTGTTGCAAATTTAACATATTGAAATCAGAGTTTTTGTTATAGTTCAGTCGCTCAGGGGACCGCTGTACACCGTTAAGGTCAGTCAATCCTATTAATGTTAAGATATCTTTTGTCATTGACCTACAAAACGGCTGATTGTGTAACTGCTGCTCTTTTAACCTTCAAACATATCACACTGGAGCCAAAGAAATTCATGGCATACGTACATAGATAATGTATAACCTTGTTATGATACATGCAGCATAATGGACTGATGAATGACCTCAACTTTTAGATGTAAATATTGAATCAAATGAATCAAAAAATGTAGTGAGTGTATAATGTAAAACCGTTGTTGGATACAGTATGAACTAGAAGGAATATGGGACAAGCAGGTGCTGCTGCATTTAAAACCTCCACATCACATGACAGCGATGTCGCTCACGGGCCTCCCTCTCCAGTCAGCTGAAAATCCAGTTCTGGCTTTATTAGCATCCATCTTTATGTACACAAACAACATTCTTTACCCCTGACCCACTGTACACCGACTTTATCCTGTGTCTGCATGACTGTTATGAAAAGGACATATTTCACTGAGAAGTTGTGCATTTATACGTTCTGTGCTGAGCTAAATCATGCAGAATTTGTAACATGCACACAATCATTTGTACACAGCAAATTTCAGAGAGTTAAATTGACTCTGTGAGATTCAATTTGAACTTTAAGCTGTTGTTTATATTGTCCGAATCTTGTCAGTGTTAAATCAACACTAAAGTGTTAACAACTTAACTCTTAATAAGTGTCAAAAATCAATCTGCCCAGTGTTAAATACATTACATGTCATTTAGCTGACACGTGCATTTTTAACCCATGGTTGTAACGTTTTAGCCTGGGGAGCAATTAGGGGTCAGGTGTCTTGCTCGGGGACACTTTGACTTGGGACATGTAGCAGCCAGGGTTCGAACCGCCAACCTTGTGGTTCCCTGGTCATCCTCTCCAATCCAGCCACATTACGTAGAGTTAAACCGTACACCAAGACACTGTGACACTGTACAGTTACATTTCCAACCTATCAAAGAGTTAATTTAACTCTACTAAGTGTCGCAAATGAATCTGATCTTGACACTGAATAATGACTTCAGTTCTTTCGTACAATTGACTCTGTAAGAGTTGAATCAACTTTTTGCAGTGTGATTTCAACTCTGCACTTTTGTCTAACACCAGAAAATTAACTCTTAAGAATTTTGCTTACAATTGTCTCCTCTTTGAAAAACATAAACCAGCCTATAGTAACGATAAGGTGAAGGTTGTTTGCAGAGAGAGATATGTGGCCTTTTATCTACATGCGAGTCCGATCACAGCGTATCTTAACCAATGAGAGCTGCAGGGTTAGTAATAAAACCATGGAAGCAGAACCTCCTCCTGGAGCCTTTGTGCCTATTTATAAGGGAGTGACTCCCCTTTCAAGCACCAGAGTGTTTGTGGCTGGCTGCAGTGTTGAATCCTAAAGGATGGTGCTCTTGGTAGTTTTAACGTGTTTACTGGCAGGCTGCCTGGCTCAGAAGCCTCACCCATGCTGTAAGTAACATAACAGATCTCTCAACTCTCATTTCTTATGACATTTCTTGTGCATTCTCTCTACTCAATGTTTCCCAATGTTAGGGATTAGGAATTAGGGAGTGACCAGACTTATGTAATGTTAATGTAATGTAATGTCTCCCATAACACAGCTGTTCCTCCTCTTCTGAGCGGAGCCCTCACTGTGGTGAGTGATCATTTTTTCTGATCTTTATGTAATCATAATACATTTGGACTTGACCTTAACAACATAACAACCAAGCACAGTGACAGTATGTGAAAGAGGGAGGTGTAATCTCACTTCACACACGTGGTCTTTCTCCAGTCGACACAGAATGAAAAGCTGTGGACTTATGCCAAATACCTGTATGATGCCCTGGGACAGCGGGTCCGAGTGATGGAGCTGGGAAGCTACGAGAACAAGTCATTCACCTACGACGCTCTTCTGCTCTTCAGAGAGGTGACCACAGCACTGATGTTAATGCGTCAAATATTTGTCTTAGAGTGAAGTCGCTCTTGCTTAGAAGTGAAAAGTACAATAACAACAACAACAACAAGTGCCAATATCTACAGCCACAGTGTTCTAAAACTATGTTGTCTGTTTCTAGGATTTCTACTAACCGAAGAGTAGAAATCAAATTCTAATATAATAACTTATGTTGTTATTGGCATTTTTTTTGCATATCAAATTCTAAGTGAAATAACTATAATTCCTTATCTAACTGGATTCTAATGCCCAAATACGCAGGATTCAAACTAGGACACTCTTTACATGCATTGTGTCTTTTTACAATCAGCTTCCGTCTTCAAAGGAAATTTAGGTTTAGACAGTAAAACCACTTAGTTATGGTTAGGAAAAAAAGCTCTACTCTCATAAACTTGATAAATAAACAACTGACAGCATGAAATAAAACCGTTTATATTTAAACGTCTCCCTGCACTGTTGCACACTTTACACTAGCTTCTTTTAGCTTGTAATAAGCAGTGTCCTTTAGACTTTGGAACTGTTAAACAGTTCTCCAATTTTTTTTCATTTTATATGGTCATAGAATGTATGCGAAACAAATAAATTGATTAACGTGTTTTATTTTCCTTTTTACTCAAATGGCAAATATATACGCAGACAATTGGGATGTTGTTGTGAAATAAAATGTGATCATTTTCAAGTTAACATTACCATTTAATGGCTGTCCTCCATATAAATAGAGCAACAATAGTAGTCCCCATTTGGCAAGTTGTTGTACAGAAGTACAATGAGAGTTTATTATGGCAGTACAAATTTTATCTGGAGCTTGCAAATGATTTACATATTGAGTGGTCCTTCAGTTATCCACATAACCTTCATTTTAAATGTTAAATGTGTCAGTTGTAACCACATGTACCCTTCTGGGATCAAATATGTCACATAAATAAAACTAGTCACGTGACTAAATGGATTAAAGTCATTGTCATGTAACAACATTAATAGTCTTGAATCTCCGATCTCAGCTAAGGAAGCACAACCAGACGAGAAGGTTTGTGAGCATGAAATACCAAAAGATCACAACAATCTATGTGCTGCTACTTTCTGGTCCCTTCCTGTCACTCATCGTGGATTCAATCTGTGTGTTAAGTATGCACAGGAAATAATTGTATTACCCATAAGTGTGAAAGGAGAATAAACATGAAATGACTTCACATAAACCCTGTCACCCTAAACCCGCTACTTTCATCCACCAGGGTAGCATGTATGAGATTAACAAACACGAGCGCACGTGCACGAAAAAGCCCCTGAAGACAGACTTCCACCCCATGGTAATCCCAAAAGATGCCTCTCTGCTGGGCCAGGCTGTTCTGGGCAGCTCGTCGGGACCCGGAGAAGGACTCCTAGTCAACACTTGGACGGGAGATCTGCCCGGCAAAGCAGGTTAGAGAATAGTATGAAAATGCTTGAACTGTCTATTCATCCATTACAGTCTTGTAATACATTGTTTCTCACCTCCGACCTTACAGGAAAGTTCATGAGCACAGTCACTGAATTCGGTTGTGTTCCTGTAAGCACAGTGTACCACACTGGGGAGTTTGGATGGGTGATAACAAGGTAAATCAACACTGTAAAAGAATCCTTCTTAATGGCAGGAAGGACGGTGTATTTGCATCGGGCCAACAGGTCATTATGTCTCCGTCTTTCTGTTTACTAGCTTCTTCAACAACGTCGTTGGGATATCAGACCCTGACCGGCTCAACCCTCCAGACTACTGCCTGGATGGAGAGAGGACGGCTGATGAAGAGGAGCAGACGGACTTCCTCAGCTTGTTCCTTAAGAAGCACTGATGGCCTCCTTTAACTAGTGATTTGAGAATGTGTTCTGTTGTATACGTCCCATTTGCTCAGAACACAAGGATCTGAATCATGTACTAGAATCCTTTTTTAGTTACATATATCTGCAAATAGAATAATCTGTGACCACATGTCATTTTCATTAAAATGCATACAGAAATAAAAAAAAAAAACAGATTCATTTATTTTACTGTGTGTAATGGCTACAGCATTCAAAAAATACGGCTATGCAACGTTTTGTGTGTTACTAGCAAATTGAATTGTCCACATGCCTCTCTTTTAGAAATAGAGCTAGAATTTAAAAGGCTTCATAATCGAGTCAGCGATTCAGTTTGAATAAACGATCCCGTATCTCCGTAGTGTCATTGTGTACTTGGTACTTCCTTAATCACTTCATTGTTTCAGTTTATTTCCGCCAACCAAAGTCTCCACGTCTGATTGGAAATATCTACTTCTGCTAATATCTACTTCTGCTAATATTTCCAGTTCTCATCTTAACCTCACGTCTTTATTAATCAGAGCATTCTATTGGAGGATTTCAAACCTGGTTCAAACCTAAGAAACGGTGCCACCAGAGTCACAGGGACACTCCCATGGTGTCAGTAATGGCGTCTTATTATGAGGAGACAGGTGTTGAACCTACTGGACTCAGAAGAAAACCTGGCAGTGGAATCAGAGTGGGAGCCTCCCCAGCCTGTTGATAAGGAAGTGAGCGCTCTCAAACAGCCGCATATATGCATCTGTGTGCAGAGGAAAGGTTCATCCACCAACCGAGAACAGCATGAGAGCTCTGGTCCTGTTTGTGTGCCTGTCGGTGGGCTGCCTTGCTCAAAGACCACAGCCATGCGGTGAGTACGTTGACAGACGCTTAGTTTGTTTGTAAATCTGGTTCGTCCTCTGGAAGCTGATGCTACATTTGCATTTTTCTTTTCCGTTTTTGCTTCTGAATTTTTGAGGAAATATCTTACCACAACTGAGACGTGAATGAGTCTTTATATGAAACCCTCATTTAATTTCAACAGAATCCCCACCGCTGCTGACTGGAAGCCTCAGCGTTGTGAGTTCGCCTCTCCTTACCCAACTTTGTATTCATCGTTCAGGATTAGTATTGTTCTAAATAATTCTAGTTTGAGCAAAGTCGTCATATCCAAAAGATTTCTTACTGTCAATATTACCACTATTAATGTTCTATGTGTTTGTTGAAGGCCACACAAAGTGAGAAGTTGATGGCTTATGCCAAGTACAGCTACGACGCGTTGGGAAAGCGCATCCGCCTCTCAGAGTTCGGATCCTATGAAAATAAGACCTTCCACCTCGATGTACTTTTACTCTTCAGACAGGTAATGACAACATGCCATAGATATCTGAACTGTGTCCAACACAAACTGCTGTATAATGCCATGGCTGTCCTGCAGGGGGTCATGTATAAGATCAACTGGAAGAACCAAACATGTTGCAAGAAGCCACTGAATGCAGACTTCCACCCGCTGGAGATCCCACGGAATGCGTCCCTGCTGGGACAGGTCGTTTTAGGCGGCTCCTCGGGTCCAGGACAGGGAGTCCTAGTCAACAGCTGGGGGGGAGAGCTGAAAATGAAGAAGGGACCAGGTACAGAAAGAGGAAACTAAAGTCAAAAGGGGGAAGTGCAGCTGCAGCACATGACTTTGGTTCTTCTGTCATATCACTGCCCTGGTTTTTCATGTTTTTCTGGTTTCGCTGCTTCAGCTCCCATGTGATCCATTTCTGTTTCTGCAGCAAAGTACATGAGCACTGTCACAGAGTTCGGATGCATTCCTGTCAGCACTCTGTTTCACACCAGCGGAAGTGGATGGAAAGTGACCAAGTGAGTGTACGCACACCACAACTCACACATGTGAAGTATAAGATTTCTTAACAGAAAAAACACAAATGTATAATGCAAGCGAATAAGAAGTCAGTCAGTCATCTTCTATATCGCTCATCCCATGACTAGTTTTATCAGTTACACAGAAACAAAATATTTGCTGTGAAAGACTGACTTTGACTTCCCTTTTGTTTAAATTACATTTTTTTCATGATTTGCTCAAGTCTTCTTTTTATTTGTCACCTTCAGCTTCTTCAACAATGTCATCGGACTAGTAGACCCTCAGAGGCTCATTCCTCCACATTTCTGTAAGGGCGCTGAGCTGGAAAACAGCTCTGATGAGGATCCAATGACCTTCTTCAGTTTGTTTTGAGAATATGATCTTTTCAGAGATGCTGTTGGCTGTGCAATTGTGACTGTATATGATTATTTGCACTGTCTAATCCCTTTTTGTGGCTACTACACAATAGTGTAGTAGCATTTGTATCAGTCGGTAAAAATCCAATTATACTCAATTAATTCCAATGAATGCATTTGTATCGGGTTTGAAAATCAAGTCAGCAGGCTTGACCTGGCTGCAAAATGCCTGTTTTTGTTCACTTCCACATATGTAAGTTAAGTGAGTTTATAGACTTTGCTTCAATAAAATCTGAATGTATTACATTTTTGGGACTGCACTTTATGATTATTGTCTTTGTTGATTAATCTGTGGTTTTCTTCAAATGTTCTATTCTATTGTATCTAAGTTTTAGCTGCAAACTGGAGAAAATAGGGAACAACACTATGTGTTTACCTAAGAAATATATATATATATTTTTTTAAAGATTTCGAATATGATTGTGTTGACTTTGATATATTGTCATCTAGAGCATTACGTGCTCTTGATAGTATGTCAGTGTAAGGTAAAATAAATATTGCAATGAACACTAATCCAACATTTATTCATGGCAATAACAAAATCTAATGTTTTGGCGATTTGAATGAGACATTTATGAATCCTTTTAGTGCAGTCGTTTAAAGCAATATACCAATGCAAACACAAGAGAGCAGTATTTAGCTTAAGTTTGACTGCGGGATTTGAAGTGTGGGATGACAGGGCTTTAGGGGAAGATACCAACAACACCACCTGGGAACTTACACCCCGAGAAATGCAGATTTCAGATTTAAATACCCACGGCACGCAAATGAGTCCCTGTGGATAAGGCAGAAACATGTTTGCTGTAATTAAGAAAATGGTTTTATTGGAGGGAACAATAAAACCAAGGTAAGCACAAATCACTAAAAACTGGTTTAAGATTATAAAAAGCAGGCAAGACTTAACACAGCAAAGGCAACATGGCAAACAAAACAACTGAGGAAAACCACAGCAGAAAGTAAATTAAAGAAAACATAAGATTACAAAATATACAATTGCAAAACAGCATTTCCCCCTCTCTCTCTCTCTCTCTCTCTCTCTCTCTCTCTCTCTCTCTCTCTCTCTCTCTCTCTCTCTCTCTCTCTATCTCTCTCTCTCTCACACACAGGACAAAAGGGGAATTCAGTTAGCATGCAAAACATAATTTAACACCAACACATCATGCAAACATACCTCTACAGCACAGGACCAAAGGGGAATGAGGCCATGGCGGCAGGTGCTTTTAAAGTGATGCCCCTAATTGGCCGTTTGGTACATACGTAATTCCAAAGATACAATAACACAGTGATGACTATTTATATAGTTATATTTTTGTCATCAGTTTCCTGAAAAAGAAAAACATTCTGACAATTTTTTTAAATTTGAAATGAAATGAAACATCGTCAGCCTCACTGGACTCGTAGTCTTGCCCAAAATAAAAAAAATTACAAGGATCATTGTCAACTGGAAATGATTATATGGATATTATGTGTGTTTTTGTCAACTTTGCCAGTTATTATAGAAACTGATCAGTGGTTAATAATGTATCATATGTGTGATTTAGAAAAAATTTCTCTTTTACCATCTAGTTAAACCACTTGTGTTATATGTGGCCGTATAGAAAAACAGCAATGAACTTATAAACAGAAGTAACGCTGAACTATTTCACAGCTCAGTTTTTGTTCCTGGTTTCTTCTGTGATTGTTTTCCCTCCTGGTGGAAGACTTTCCCATCAGGCTGCTCCCTCCAGCTTAGCCTGACTCCACTCACTCCGTTTTCCTTCAGTCTGTCCTGGAGCTTGGAAACACAGAGGCCCTTTTGAAAAACCCATCTACATTGTTTGTTGGATGCTGGCTTTTGTAAGGGCTGCTATCCACTCGGAGAAGACCCAGACATACGGTATCAATTTCATCAAAATGAAAGAGTTTCAGGGGGGATTTTGGACACTCACTTTTTTCAGGATGTTTGCATTCACAGCAGGGTCATTCAATTCCAAAGAGGGAACCTCTGGCTTTATCCTCAGCTTCACTATGCGCCTCATGACTGGAGAATTGGCGTGTAGGAAAAAAACATGTTTGGAATTACATTTGTGATACTAAACTCATGGATAAATTAACCCCCAGCATGTTGGAGTACTACCAGTGATTGTGATCTAATGCAGCATCCCCCCTCACCCACTGAAGCTCAGTGAATCACTCACCTGGGATGTCGTGGCAGACAAATGGTAATCTACTTGCACAAGATGTCAGCCTCCATCCTCCTGATAATTGCAAATCTGCAAGACCACACATCCGGGTCATCGAGCCCATGTCGGTTGTAGATGTGCCCCAGAAGCTGAATGAGGTATTTAAATAGTTACTCCCACTGGACCAGTAAATGTTAGGATCTCTGAACAAACCGATCCATGCCCAGTTTCCCACGGGCACCAAGCGCTGGATTTTGTTGTTCTCTGTCTCGTTCCTCACGGTGGCCAGGTCTATGAACTTCTCTCTGCAGTACGTCTGAGCATCGGACCAACTCATTTCTAGGTTCACAATGACATACTCGGGATCCAGCTGGTCCCCTGTGGTTTGGGAAGAAATCATTACGTTTACTTGCGGAATCTCTTTGAAGAGTGATGTTTCTTGCTATGTCCTTACCCCTGTAGCAGATAAATGGGTAGTGTATGCTGCAAACATCGTCCCACCACCTCCCCTTGTCTCCAACGTTCACACAGAATTGACGAAAAGAGTAAAAGTCTGGCTCATTATCCAAAAGGTTTTCCCAGTTCCTATATTCCCATCCACTACCGTTGCTGCCGTCTGACCACCTCCAGTCGATTACACTGAACAGGCCGATCCACACCTCATTGTTGTAGCCGAAAGATGACGCTGTGTTGACCAGTTGGTTTACGTCTTCAGCGCTTTGAATGGTGGCCAGGTCCTTGAATGTCTCTCTGCAGTGGCGCCTCGCTTCGTCCCAAGTCGTTGAATTAGCAACAAAGTGGTACTGACCTGGAAGGCACAAGGAGGTGTTCCAGTCTGTGAAAGGGAAAGAGTGCATTTTTAAATCACAATCTGTTGATCAGCACTACACATGATAAACTTTTTATAATTAGATATAGTAGGACGTGAAGCATATTTACTAATGATGGCTTGGACATTTGTGCTCTCAACCTCTTACATGGTTTAGAATTAGATGACTATACGGAGCCTGAAGTAATGGAATTATTCGTTTTTTACTTCTCTTCTTTCTCGTCAATCCTGGCACTTTTTGAGGATTTAAGTGTATATGAAGTTAATTCAATGAGACAAAACATTAAAAGACTGCTCACTAACACATTAGTGATAACCAAGTAATATCATAAATCAATACATCAGTCACAGGAAAATATTTCAATTTACTAAATTACAGGATCTCACTCATGAACTGACCTCCAACATTGGAAAGATCTTATAGAAAGAAAACCATCAAGCGTCCCAAAAAGAAAATATGTTTCAATTTTGTCACTAACCAGGAGAACCCGTCTTGAGTTCTTATTTCAGTATGTGTATAATACAATTATAGGTAGTCATATAAAGTAAAAGAGAATTCACAAACCTGTGAGAAAGAAAACAACCATCCAGATCCGTTCCATCATGATGCTGCTTACTGTGAGTCAGTGTTTGGAATAAAATATGTTACTGTACTCTTATCATTGATATGAAAATGAAGGGAAAATAAACACCCGCCCCTTTTCCTTAGTACTGTTATTGTAAAAACTGTTATGTTACAAACAGTAGCTAAAATATGGCAAAGTAATTGCATAGCACAGAATGATCAGCACGCTTCAACTGTCCACTTCTTTCAGGTGAATTCTGACTACAAAACATGGAAACATTCAACATGTACATAGCTTAAAAGTCACAAGGATGTTTAAATGATGTGTTATGCAGTTTTGATATCCTTCTCACATGCCTGTAGTGGTGTAACCATGTAATGCTTCTCCTATTGGATTTGTTGGTCAAATCCACAACTCACAACAAATGAAAAAGCTCATTTAATTGGTATTGCTTTTCAAAACACGCTATCACGACTGACGAAAATCCAAATTGGACCCAAATGCAGACAAAGCAGGCGGAAATGAAGTTTAGGCGTTTATTCAAAGTATTCCCAGAGTCTAAGTAGAGTGCCAGCACAAACAGGCAAACAAATCCAACAAGGCAGATGCTAGAAAGCACAGATGTGACGCTGGCAGCAACCAGGGGAAAGAGACGAGCAGTGTGGGGAAAGAGGAGGGATAGAGTATCTGGCACGCCGGCGAAACCACCGACACACTAAAAAGCCCATCAAACGAAAGTTGCTATACAACAGGACGAGGATTGACATTGTAGCAGTAATAAGACATTCCCCGTAGCTCCCCAACCTCCTGCACCCCAACATCCGCTGCCATCACCCCCGACTCCCGCGCCTCGGTCTCCAGCCACAGCAGCCGGACATCGGGGTCTTCATCAGAAAACTGGAGCAGAGATCCGGAGCTCCGCAGCGCCTTCAAACACTGCGTCAGCATCAGGCCGGCCTTCCGCCGGCCTTCCTTGGACCTCAACAAGGCGTCTGTGGTGCCCTTATCGACTATGAGGTCCACACTGCGGCTGCCGTAGTGCTCGTGGAGCAGCGTGCAGTCCAGCTCTACAAACTCCAGCCGAGAGGAGCGGTTGTGAGGTTGTATGTCCTTGGCTTGGATTTGTTCCTGCATTAGTCGCACAGCTATGGGGGAAATGTCCGCACAAGTGACCTGGACCGGGAGAGGAGAGTGTCTGTATATGGAGGGCCCTAAAGCGGAGGTGCCACAGCCCACGTCCAGGACTCGCAGAACACCATCTGGGTGGGGCTCGGTCCGCAAGAGGGGCATGATGAAGTCCCTCACGGCGTCGAAGCCGAAGAACCACTCAAAGTTTTTGAAGGTTGCCGTCCGGCTGCTGCTGCTGCTCTCGGTGTAGAAGCGGTCCCAGGTTGCTTTCTTATCCATGTTTTCAATCAGCTCGGCTGGGCAGAAACACAGATGGGATCACGGATACATCTTCCCTTATGGTTGCCACGCTTAGGTCATGTTTTTAGTGACAAAACAAACATATTTTGTGTGTCCTTGCTTATATTAATATATATATAAATAATTTATATATTTTTATAACATACTACATTTTCGTTGGTCCTTAGAAACCACTTAACTCCATAGAAAAGTTCTGAGTATCCAGGCTGTGTTGGGTTAGATTGCATTAGCTTTAGCTTGGTGGTGCTAATCTGCTAGCAACTGAGAATGCACAACTTCATAAAACTGGTACTTTATACACACACGTGCACGTGAGGTGGAATGAGGTCTTTATCAGTAACGTTACACACGTAACAGCGTTGGTCCTTTATCACACGCAGTATTACAGCATTACAGCTAGCTTAACTAAATGCAGCTAGGTGACAGCAGAGCTTCGACACCAGCAGATATTGACTGAATGTGGAGTCATTGTCACTAATGAAGATGGCAGACAGGACGTTTGCCTTTGAACCCACCTGTCAGCGACGAGTGACATCGGACTGCAGCTATTCTCCCACAAAACAAAGTCAGCGACCTCGAAAACGGAGACATTTTCCCCTCAGCGACTTTGATTGTCCTTACGAAGGATGTCTCACTCCGTCCGGGTTTCTTAGCAGCGAGTCGCGCCGCCCACGAAAACAGGTATAAGCTATGCATAAATACGTGTGCAAGGAGAACAAGATATTAATACAAGTTTGTGCACTATCAAAATATAAAAAGTGAATGATCCTTGAGCTTTATTTAACATTTGTTTTAATTCACAAATTATTTTTTCCAGTGTCTTCTGTCTTCAGTGGCAAAACTTAAGTGATGAATTGATAATGGGGGTTATCATTTTTCATAACCCTATATTGAACCTGACTCCTTAGAATAAAAACACGAGAAATAAGATGTAAATCCCTTTAATAAAACTCAATGAACCGCAGCGTAACAAAGGAAAATAGTCCAACATAAAGCAAGTAGATAACATTTACAACCACAAAAGAAAAAAAAACCTGTACAACTCTAAATGCCTGGAGTCACTTATATTTTTTTCCAAACAATTTTAATCAACCATTTTCATGACAAACGTTTGGGGCAAGAGGGGTAAGGGAGGCGTGTAATGCGATTTTATCTTAAATTATTTTCAAATACATGAGTGTAAGCTTATACACAGATGTATGCTTCATCAACGTGGCAGCTGATTTTTTTTTTTTTTTATCCACTGCTGTATCATACAACAGGAGGAGAACGAGGTGGGCTGTGGTTGGGAGTGTTATTTGTACAAGATGTCGTAATGGCCAGGTCTATAGAGGAGGAAAATGCGTGGGTCGCCTCCTTCGGGGAAAACGTGATGATTGACTGTTCCTCCTTCGCCTCTATCCATGTACTCCACCAGGATGGACACGTCTAGGGCCTGGGCTAAGGCGATGATGTGAATGTGATCACTCTCTTTAGACATAGGTTCCACCTCCTTGAAAATGGAAAAACACAATGTGATCACAAAACTTCAATGTTTTAGATATTCACCATTGCAATCTTCTAAAAAGGAAAAAAAAAAACACACCTGCTGACAAAACTCCTTGACAGAGCGTCCTCCCTCTATGAAGTGCTGAAAGAAACCGTACTCTCGCTGCAGGTAGCCCGAGGTGAGCAGCCGCAGATACACGACCACATAGTCTGACACGTTCTGGTCGTTGAAGGAGTTCAGCAGCTCCTGCAGGCTCGGCTGTTTCTCACACAGTTCGATCAGGTCCATGAACTTGAAGGAAAGACATTATTGACACAAGTTAAATTGATACGGACGCGTCGATCTTGCCAAATTACTGTCAAACTGATCCAATGCAACAAATGCATCATGTTCTTTGCCAAGTGACCATTACCGATAATAGCATTATCCAGCGAGATATACTGTGTATACTTTTATTAAGGCTATTCTATAGTTGAATCTGACACTGTACGTAATGTAGAGTAGAATTGTGAGAAAGTCATAGAGATATCGTGACACAACATTTTGTCATCTAAAGTGATAACAAGCACATATAGCATCAAATTGATTCTCCTATCTCCAGGCCAGCATAGTTAAATAAACCTATTGTTTTAATCTGATGGATGGCTAGAAAAATGTATTTATTATTTATCTATAGTTCAAATAGTTGAAACTTCCGAGTTAATTTTGCTCATAGGATCATGAGAAAACTCTCAAAGCTTAAGCCAGCTACTTTCCTACTGAATGCTACGGTTTACTTTAAAATATATTAAAAAAAACAAAAGTAGTCATTGAGGTTTGTGAGTTTACACTAAACAACAAATTGATTTTTTTTTTCTTTTTACTTACAGTGTTGTGAAAGTCTTCAATGGTAAACTCGGTGAAGCCCTCGTTAACCAGGTCCATTTTACTTTTGGTAGCAACTGCTTTGAACCTGTAGAGATAAATTAAATATTCCCAATAATATTACGGCCAGCACAAGTTGTTTTTTTTTACAATTTTAGTATCATGGAGAATATTGACCACAGGACAAATCAACCAAAACCAATAACAACGCAACTGCCATGGGAAGACAAAACTAACTCAAAACAGACTTTAATGGACCAAAATGGCAAAGGTGCGAGAGGCGCAAAGCCACTACAGCACAAACTGCACTCACTTCTGGAGTTCTTTGCTGTCATCTAGCAGCGACTCAAGGTGTGCGAAGCCGAAAGCTCTGTAGAAACAGTTCCCATCTGGCCGCGTCTTGCGAATGTACGAGTATTTTTTGTGCAAGTCCTGCAGCAAAACAAGAATAATGCTAAATTAAAAACAAGAAAAACTGTATTTAAGTATGTCAGCAACATATTGCTTTGTTGCAGTGGATAAAGAGACACCCTGGGCTGTGGAGGAAATGCACCCCGGTGTGGGAGTAGTACTTGACCGGTGTGGATCAACTAACCTTGATCTTGAGCTGATAAACTGCGTCATCGTCAGCGTACTCCCTCTGCAGCACCGCCAGGTCCTGTCTGTCCGATACTAACGGGCTACTGTTGGCTATCTAGATACTCGCACAAAAAAAGGAAAGAATATTTGGGCCATGCACACACGGAAACTTCACTCATGGGTGCATCTGCCCTCCCCAAGCTATTCTTGTAGTCTGAAAAAGGGTTACAATGTGGACAGAAATAAGCTATGGATTTAAACATTTGTATATATTTTATGAAAAGGTCATAGCTGTGCAGGATAGTATCATAGTTTTTTTAACGGGTCAATGCCATTAGTTACTGGGCTTAAAATTCTATTCAGCATATTCTATGGTGTTGACATGTCAAGAGTTCATCTGTATTCACTTCTGAGCAGAAATGTGTGTTTAAATAAGAAAAACTGAAATACAACTTGAATCTGGGAACATTTCCTTTATGCTCTCACCTCCTGCTGGATTCGGTCTTGTTGAGCAATTATAGCCTCATCATACGCAAGGCAGTTCCCTCCTGAAAGAGATAGATTAACAACACGGCTTCAGGTATATGCCATTGTTTATGAAGCACATCAGAATGAACATTCGGTCAGGTTTATATTTCAGTGGAACCATTGTCATTGTGTTGGAATTATATTTAAAAAAAAGATTGGTGCCTCTGATTCACAATACACCAAATGCAGTTTCCCATACAAGAAAGGTACACCATTAAATATGGACATGGACCCATGGAACCTCAACAGTACAGCTGGATTACCCATGACATTATCAATGCACCTGCAACATGTGTTAACCCTGACTAAAACAAACCCCAGGCGATCAATTTATGACAGTATGTAGTATCAGGAAACATGTATTTTATCATACGTGCACAAATGAATCTGGCTGAATGATTTCAGGTGACAGAACAACCTCAGCACACATAATGCAGCGCCAAAATAAACGGCTTCAAAGGGGGGCAAAGAGGTGCGTTCGGGGACACAGCCGTGTAAAACCATGTATTTTAATGTCTATTTTTGTCATTTCTTGAAATAAAAAAAGACAAACGAGTGCCCTGGTTCATGCAAACGGCATTGCAATCACATAAATAACACAGCGAATCAGATGGGTGACGTTGTGTTTTAACAACGTAACGTTACGACCAAAACAAAGCATCCATGAAGACATCTAACGTTACATTTTCACCATACGTCATCACCACAAGCAACCGCGGGCACATTCATCCAGTCAGCGGTTAACATGAAAACAACTTAATCCACAGCAGCAGCCAGCGTCAGTCAGCTGCTCTCGGCTAATTTAGCTCGACCTGTGCGTAAACAAACACATTCTCGTCACGACGAATGGGTTCAGTTTAGAAACCCAAACGCGTTTGTCCCACATTTAAAATCAAATGTATAGTTTTAACATTTCCTTGGGTAAGACACTCTGGGACTGTCACTTGCTATCGCCCTGCCAGTAACTAATCAAGCGTTTTCTCTTTGTGTAGCAATAGCAGCTAGCTAGCGTTAGCTCTGGCCTCTGTCTCCCCCTCGTCGCTGCCCGTCGGCCCCCTTCGTTACGCACGAGGCCCCGGCTCAAACGCCGCGCGAGCCCTCGCGCCGACGCGGGCTTCGCCCGCCAGAGAAATGGCCGCGGTGTAAGTTGGGTGGTTGACGTTGGAACCGTTTGTCTCACCCTCCACCTCTCCCTGTGATGATTCCTGCTGCTCCTCCGCCATCTTAGCTATCGAGATCTGTTTCCTCCTCCCGCTTGACCTCATTCATCGCACACTTCCGGCAGAGGCTTATTTTGTGTTTGCCTCTCGGTTTGTCTCATGTGTGACATTTGTGCGCCCTTTCATATTGAGTCTCTCGCAAACAAACAGACTTAGTTGATACTGTGAATTCTCCCGTCATCATTGAACTAAAGTGCGCCAAAGTAAAACCTTGATGACTGATCTGTTGTTGCAATAGACATCCAAACACTTCTACTTCAATAGGTGCCTGCACTGAACTAAGACTGCCTCAAGGCTCCCAAACCCCCCAGGGGCCACACTGTATTTACTTGGATTGTTTTGTTTGTTGTAATTAACCACACATTTGTTTGGTGAGGGTATGTTTAGCCAAACTAAATCCTAATAACAGCCATGTGTTGCCTTTCTACATTGCAGCCAAATGTTCCTGGCACGAAAGGCCCTGTGTCAAAATGTTTGTTGACATTCTGCTTACATGGTGTTTTCCATAAATGCAAAACATAAACAGCTCACTGAGCATAATGTAGAAGTACACATAAACTACGCATTGTCTGAGGAACGGTGAGTCAGGTTAGTCAGCTCCACAGTGTATTTGGTCCTCTTGTAGGACCTTTCCAGGGAACCATAACCCCCTGCAGCATCTTGACAGGAGTCTCATCAGACAGGTTGATGGCAAGTCAGTTTTATTTCCCTTATTTGGAAGATCCAGGAAATAGTTTTGGTGAACTTCAAAGTTTTACAAAAAACATGCACATTTATTTCAAGCTGATTCCCATATATAGCCCTTAAAATGAATGAAAATCTAGCATTGACCAAGAAGATCATTTTCCAACATCACAGTGGAATGCAAAGTCTTTCATAGTTCGCTCTTTTTGCATTAGGCTCATTCAGGTCCCTGCACTTTCCAGCAGTAAACATCAGGAGGCACTGTCTGCAGCAAATACAACCAACATTCACACAAAAACACCACTTATCTGTTTCTATCAGTAAATTATATACTGTACATCGCCTTTGCCAAAATGTCACATTCCTGTTCAACATAAGGCATCATACATGTGCGGAGAACGAAATAATACTTCATATTTGCCAAAAAAGCAAAAGTGATATTTTTCATATTTTAACCGATGGCACTTTGCTTGCCATGTCGGGGCTGTAACAGAACACAATACAAAGCATGTCCACTATTATTCATCTACAGATTAACAATACATGTTTGGTTTTGCCACAATACTCAACATCTGTACCGGTTTATGTCCAATTCTCCCTGGAAAGGCATTGTGTCTTCCACGTGGAAAACATATCCAGCTGGCAGAAGAAAAGTTGCAACACAGACACAGACACTGTGGGTGCTTTACTTTGTCTCTATGGTATCCGGTCTTAAAGTCCAGATGTATTCCTAACAGCCGCTCGCAATCAATTAAAAAAAAGATGTACAAACAGCTTTCATCCATTGTATATGTGTGCATACACAGAGATATATTATATTTATTTAGAGTGTGGATGTTTAATATGTTAAAAATACCACTGTTGCATAGCAGCCTGAACAGGGAAGATTGATCATTCATCTGCCATATGTTTATGCCTTGATATTCACTTTATTAATAATTGGAGTTCTCTTTATTTATTTTTAAAACATTTTTGAAAGCATCATTTGCATATTTCTAGAGAATTACAGATCCTTAGAAAGAAATCCTTAGACATTAGTCGTGTATGTCTGTATGAAGCCTTTATCTGATCAAAATGTCTCAGTTCAAAGTCAAAGGCGTGGGGAGTGCATGTGCAGGTATGTACTGTTGCCGGTGTGGTGAGACAGGAACAATCCCTTGGTTTGGATCACATCTCAAACCGTGTTGTGTAATGCAACTTGAAACAGGCCCAGTTCCTGACACATGGAACTCAACATCTGCACAGATCCTCCCTCCTTACCGAGGTGTTGCAATGTACGTTGCTGATCTCCTAACTTTCCCACAGACTCCAACAACTCTCCCGAATTTCTTGATTTCCTACTGTGCATTTTGACGTACCCCACAAAAGGTATGACAGCTGCATTCGCCTGTTCGTTACATAGCAAATTGCGAAAGACGAGAAAGGAATATTGTCCGCGATTAAACGCTGTGATATTGTCTTTGTTTTTGCTGGCGTACGCGGCACAGAAATGTCCATGAGAGGCTTCAGAGCGGAGTTCTTCCCTTTAAGATTTGATTCCATTGCACCATGTTCCCAACACAATGAAGAAGATGCCGCAGTCTGGGTGCTGAAGTCAAACCTCTGAATCTGCTTTTTAACCACAGCTGGCCAGTGTTGCAGTTTTACATGACATTTCGCAGCTGCCCGCTAAACTATCTGGGCCTTGTGGATCAGCGAGGCATGGGGGCCGAGCACCGTGTGGCTTTGCTGGGGTTTAGGCCTGAGTGTGCCATTAGTCTGCCGGTAGCGTGTGCTGAGAGCCTCGGACACCTGGGAGCTGTTTGTCTCGCTGTCCCTGTCATCAGGATGCTCCCGACTGGCGGGACTCCCCAAACCTTCATCTTCCTCATCCTCGTCGTCTGTTACCGGTGGGAAGTTGCTGCTCAGAGGAGACTGCTGGTGACTCTTGGTGACGCTTCCTGGCCGTGAACCCCCGTCTGCCGGGAAAATGGCGCTGCCGTTGAGCTGTCTTACATTCTCAGTGGACGGTACCATTAAGAAGGATGTTGGTGTGAGGGGAGGGTGTAAATGCGTTTCCTGCTGCAAAGAAATGCATTATAAGTAGGTGTGCAGATGTTGATAATACAATCAGGTGCCTTCAGCGTTTGACACTTTCACCACAAGTATGCATACACAAAGACACACTTACAGCGCTGGTTCTCACGAATGACTCCACTCTGAGTCTGCGGTCCTCGTCTCTGTCCATGGGTCTGTCCCTCCACCTCTGCGAGCTGTATAGAGGTGGCCTGCCCAGTTCATCCAACGCCCGCCCTCCTCCCCGTCCACCTGAGATGGTGGATCGGCTGTCCCGGTAGTTCTGGTCCTGTCAGTGTGGGAAACAACGATTATCGTTTCCGTCCTTATCTTAAGCTGAAGTGACTGTCATCATGAAGCAGTGTTCGTTTGAAGAAGGTCAGGTCATACAGAGAAAATACACCTCTAATGCAAATGAATCAGTCGAAGCAACAGTTCCACGTTTCATGATGTGCACTTTCTGGCCCAGAGTGAGATACATATGAGAACACAACATCTGTTTGTGGAAAATAAAGCTACGGTTAGTCTGGAAACACCTAGTCTAGTCTTGCTCCAATGGTGGTAGCAGCTTTTAGAATTTAAGAATTTAAGAATTGTTGTCTCTAGCTAAGAGCAAAAGTAGTAAAATCTCATTTAGAGCAAGATCACATAACACTTTAAAATTTTGTAATAATGTCCTAATAACTTCCCACTTGAATATAGCCTCTTATAAAGAACTACGTCAATGGGGAATTGTCATGGGGGAAATATTTCTGTGCAGACCCACGACCAATTAAGTGCTTTTGTTTCACAATGGGGCTCTTTGTCAGTGCACAGCACGTCAGCTCAATATGCAAATATGTTTACGGAACATGATGCTTCACGTCAGCAGCATGACATAACAGCGTAGATGAAATCAAACTGACAATTTGACGTTTTGTTTTTCCTTTTCAGGAATGAAAAGCAATGTTCTAGAAAATTAGAGGTGCATAGAATTAGCTCAAATGATGTTCCACAGGCGGATGTGTTGTTGAAATTGTAATGTACATCCCAAATGCCCTACATTCAGATAAGAGATGGTGAAGCTACATGCACAGTAAGATTGATAAGCAGACTGACCCCGATGGAAGAGTGGCTGCACCTTACAAATCCCTCCACCCTCAGAGGGATGTTTTCCTCTGTCTGAAATGACAAGATGCAGAAGGCAGGATTATATGTGTCACTGGAGAGAAAAAACCCTCCATAAACCTTAAAAAGTCACTTTTAGCCAAAGCAGTAACAGACAAACGACAGAAAGATTACAGGAAAGACAATATAATATCATTTGAATGGCACACATGGGACCCGCGGCCTGGGATCGGTGGTGCAGACACATGGCAGAAAACACAAGACGATGCAGCAGCAGGACAGTGTGTTCAGTTTGGAAAGAATAATTCAGTTTAGTACCATTCCTCTGGCATCTGTGCTGGTAGAGTTCACTCTCCTGAAAGAAGCCTGTCTGGAGAGGGTGCTTATTTCCTCCCTGTGAGAAACGAGGGACAGAAATCAAAGGTATTTTATGATTGGCTTGTACGTAGTTCATACTGTTTTATTCAGAGTGCATGGCCACTTATTGCTGATATGTTTCACATGCAGAACGCACAGCCACTGATTAAATTAACTGATTAAACACGCTCTTCTGTTCTAACTGTGGAACTGTAAGAGAACCTTACGGATTTAAGGGGGAACATGCAAACTACACAAAGACAGACCGCTGGGTGTTTTTGAACCCAGGACCTTCCTGCTGTGAGGAGACAGTGCAAACCACCACCGGCAGATGTAATTTGCTTAACATTCCCGATTGCTCCACTCGTTATCGATTGGCTCAATCGTCCCTGCGGAGATCATTAAGGTTTCCTTTCTTCGTATCTAATCAAAAAAAAAAATCACATACTTCTTCACAGTGAGCTCCTTCTCCAGCTTCTTGTTCTTGCGTTTGTGATAACAAGTGAGGGAGATGACAACAATGAACATCAAGATCAGAAGCCCCCCAGCTGCGCCGCCTACGATGATCATCAGCGTGTTTTCGTCCTTGCTCTCCTTCTGGGAAGATTCTGTCAAATGAAGATTCGGGTGGCCGGATTAGATGGATGCACATATTTATTCTCAAGGGAAGGTCAGTATGTGATGTTGACATTGCTGTCGTTTACCTGCCACATCGATCGCCACCTCCACCTTCATTTCTCCCACGTCATTCTTTGCCACACACTGGTAGGTGCCGCCATGTGACAAGCTTAGGGGTCGTCCAAAAACCAGGGATCCGTTAGGGTGGGAGACGACACCTTCTGGCAACTCGCCCCCCATTCTGCCGACAGAAACGAAATAAAGATCAACCACTGTGCCTCACTTACAAACATTTGGGCTTTTTCTGTATCCGTAAATACAAATAGCCTAAAATGATTTTCAAGCAATTTAAGAAGGGAATATATTTATCCTCTGACAAGTGGGAATCGCTGAAATATCAAAAGCAGACGGGTAGAGTGCGGAGTACTGAAAGCCGTCCCCCACTGAGACGTTTCACCAAAAACACACAAGATCACATTTTCTGAAGTAGTCTGAGGAAGCCGATGTCTCTGTAGGCGGTGCGAATTCCTGCAGTTTTTACTGACTTGTTTCACTTACACATGAAAAAGAATTTATTCATTTGAATTCAAAATGTTGACTTTTTTTACAATGATACTTCAACGATGACCCTTCATTGTCTGAAACTGCTGTAAATTTCCTGGTAGAGTGACTCAGGGAAGACGTGCTAGAAACGTCGATGAGCAACTCCCTCCAGGGTGTTGCCTCCGTGTTGTTGTTGTTTTGAGGGACTTGATCTTAATCCCCGCCTGTTCATATTGACAACCTGCCTTGCCCCAGAAATACCGACTGTATTTCCAGTATGCACTGAAAGGTTATATTCACAGGCACTAACCAGGAGAGAAGAGGAACTCTTTTGTGAAACACCTCCGCGATAACATCGCACACGTGTTCGCACATTGCGCTTCCTCTTTCTTCTCTCTCTCCCCCCTCACATCCTGTAATCCTGCCCCCACTACTTCACCTCCGTCATGGGGGCCGCTCATCCCTTTCGCTTTTTCTTCTGATTTCCCTCGAGCCCCCTCCTTCGTGCGAAACTGTCTAATCTGTCTGCTTTCGGCACAAGCTGCAACACGACACTGTGACACCAACTATTACTTCACCCGCCGCCTTTTATTGACAAAGCCAACAGGTTTGCCCGCAGCAGCAGCGCCGCACATTGGTATCTGTGTGTGTTCATGTGAAATGCCTCATAGTAAGGAGAGGTCTGCCGTAACTGGATTTGGGCCTGCACATGTATGTGTGTGTGTGTGTGTGTGTGTGTGTGTGTGTGTGTGTGTGTGTGTGTGTGTGTGTGTGTGTGTGTGTGTGTACGCATGCCGTGTGTTTTCCTCACAAAAGCTAATGTAACCAAGGTGTGTTCCTTTGATTGAGTGTATGTAACATCCCAAGCCAAAAAATCCAATCAGAAGAAACTGTGCCAAGCTTTTTTTTTTTTTACCTTTTCCTACGTTTACAGGCAGTAATACAAACGTGTAATTACATCACGCACAGATGTCAAACAGATATCTGGGGGTATCTGTGTGTGAGGGATTCTCCCCTCAAGGCCTAACTGCCACTTCTCATGATTCCATGGGAGACTTGCAGTCACTTTTTGTGGCTCACTTTTTTTTTTTTGCCAAACTTTATGCCACACCCTGAGAATATCTTTATGCACAGAAATGACACAAGGTGACTCAGGCAGAAGAAGTCCGGCATCTGACTCAAACCCTTGTCACGAGTCTGACATGGGCCGTAAATGTGCCGCATTTTTACATGACACAACATCTGAGTGTGTCAGTTTCCATTGCTGCAGCGGAATCAGGAGGTGACAATGCCATGACTTGTTTAGTTACGTTCTGTGGAAAGGGTGGGGAACCATCACCAGTACACCGTCAAGTTATTTCAACCTGAAGTGTAGAAGATAAGGATGCGTTGACAAGTAATGTCATTCTGAATGTTGTTCACAGCAGGGTTAATAATCCCTCTGAACCAGTGGCGGGGTGTCTAGGTCTCCTCTGCAAGCCGAAACATCATCAGAATATACATTCTCATTTTGATATATTTATTCCACAAACATCTATTAAATTATTGTTAATCTAATCTCTTCTTTTTATAGCTCTCCTCCTGGTTGCACTCTTTCCAGCCTCCGGTTGAGATTTGGACGGCTGGACTTTATGTTTTATCCAGTCATCTTTAATCCGGCATGTGCATCCAGGGTCCAAGATATCAAAATCAACAGTGCGGGCGCTTGTAGGTTAGTGAAGGGAAATTAAATTGTGGCGTTAACTAATCAGATTTCAAGTTGGCCAGCTAGCAGACGCACAACGACAACTGCCTGTGAACATCTTTCGATTGGATACACACCAGTAAGAGGCGGAGCTATGAAGCGCTGCCGAAATGAACCTGATGGACCTGTGGCAACCTGAACGATGTAATTGTGTAGATCAACACATTGTTTTTTTCAAGATGCGATTTGTTCGCAATGCCATTTTCAATAAAGACTTTTCAAGAAATGCTAGACATCGGAAGAAGAGCTAGGCTAACCCTGACACTATCGAACCATGGCGTCATAGTGATGGTATTTACAGGTGGGTTACTTCGGGAAGGACTGGGTAGGACGTCATTGAAGGCCCAGGTGTACTCTTGGCACTATTTGTAATAATTGTCAAGGTGACAAAACCTTTCAAGTTGAATCATGTCAGGATAAGATGATCCTTTACTGGCCTCATCGTGGGGAAATTTGCAATATTGAATACCTTTGAACGGAGGAGGAACTTATTCATTGCATTCATTAAAGTAATTCATCTTAAAAGATTTCAGAAAATAAACCATAGCAGCACTGGCCCAGTCTCAATATATTCAGACTAAAGCTGACTTCAGTATGTATCAATCATTCCAAAGTGATTTCTGTATGTCACAATCAAATGTAGGTGGAGTAATGGACTCAGATCTCCCACTCACTAACATACTGAGTGCAATTCCATCTTCTTGAACATTTACGGCATTTGCATTGCGGCACCAGCTAGCCCACTCTACATCTCAACGTTGATGCACAGCACTACCAGGACAATTTGCATTGCATGTCAAGATGTTTTTGAAACACAACGTTTTTAGAAGAGCAGGATTGGAGCAATAATAAAAACACTCAGGTCACCGGGACGCGTTTTTACTTCATTTTGGCATTGACTTTGGCCCACAAGGACGACACGAGTGAAATGAACATCCCATTTGTACCCTTGCGTTGGGCAATTTCCATGAAATAATTGGTCTATATACTGTCTGAGAAAAGTCACTCATCAGAGTTAGTCACACGAGTACCAGACAGACAGAAAAGGAGGCGGGTCATAGTGTACCTGATCCAGGTAAAACTCGGTTTGGGGTTTCCTCCACCCACACACTTCAGGGCAGCGTTCTCCAGACCCATGGACCAGTCTCCGTTGTACCCAGAAACCTCTGCGTGTGGAGGAACTGGGAGGCAGAACAACAAATGACTTATTTAACCGAGGCGCATGGGGGTGTGCCAGGACCAGGAGTGAATGTTGCACCGGCTAAACAATCAAGCTTTTTGATTGTTCACAGTCATTTATTTTGGACCAAAGGAGCAATTCAATCTTTCTGTAATGCAACACTATGTAACGTTATACAGGTGCAAAACCCTCTGTGTAAATCAGATGAACACTCACAGTGCACCACCAGGTTGTTCCGGAGCCTGCGTGGGGCTTCCATAGTCGGATGCCACACCAGACAGTCCAGTTTCTTGCCGTTCATGCTCCTGAGGGGGTGCAGGGAGTAATACGAGGACACAGCGCCGTTGTCGGAGGAGCGATTGACGGATTGGCCATTCAGGTCGGTGTCCCAGGAGAGGCGGGGAGGCGGGCGCGCCACTGAGCGACAGGAAGCGGCCGGTCGGTAGGACTGTCCTTCCACCAGAATCACGGGGTCCAGGGAGGAGATGGGAACGGCTGGAGGGTCGATTACGACAAGGTTCAGTCAGAATGCAGACAATGATGATAAGTCAACACGCTCATCTCATCGCCTTAGAGTGAGCTGTGAACATATATTCTCAAGCAGTGTCTTTCTAACAGTTGTTAACCTACATGGACACACAGACCTCGTCACTTTTCAGAAATATTTTAGTCACTTCCCATGAGCGATCTTTTTGTTTGTGTTATTGTTTAAGGGAGAATCGTTGCTGTGTGTGTTCCCTGTTTGCAAGTGTTAAACTCAGTGTTGAATGGCTAGTTATTAATGATAACAATTTAAGTTTCTGTTAGTTTAACTGTGCGTGTTACTTCTTAAGTCATACGAATTTAATAGAAAATAGAATCTATTTAACTTAATAGAATCTATTTAACCACTTGTATCTAAGCACCAATTTAACTTTTAAACTTAAACAGCCAGCTTTAACCATAAAAAATGCATCAAAAAACAAGTGAAAGTGATGCGCTGAAGGATGAGTATACTGAGAAATACTTCTTCATTCTTTTGAGTTCTTCTTTTGAAAACTATACGATGCTTCCAGGACCTTTTGGCCACTAAAAGCGAGAGCGACATATTGTCTCCTCTGCATTCACAGTCACAAACTTGACGAAGCAAATCTTTTTCTACTGCATGGCCACGAGGAAGGGACTCACTCCACACGATGAGCGACATCTCTCTGTCAAAGTTGCCTGATGGGAAGGTGCTGATGCGACAGAGGTAATTCCCCTCATCAGAGACCTCTGTGCTCTTGATGACCAGAGACGAGTCCACGGTGGGCTGGTTGCTTTTAAAGTGCACACGTTGATGCCAGGTCCCAAACGCTGCGGAGAGGCAGAGAAGATGGAGAGAAAGGGAGAGAGTTAGAAGACCATGTGTGGAAGGATAAGATGCGACACAGAAAATTGTTCAAATCAGTCCTCGGGGTGCGGCTTTTGTCACTTTCCACTCTACGTGCCTGTCCATTAGTTCGATAAGAACATTTGCCCTTTGTACTGAACATAGGACAGCGGGTGATGAGAAAAACAGAGGACGTCGCTCATCGTGAAAACAAACGAAGAGAACGCCACAAGAGCCACGGTCCCAACTGACCAGTCTGCCCGTTAGTGTGGTGTGCAGTGATGATCTGCTCCTTGGTGGCATCGGGTTTCTCTTTGTACCAGGTGACCTGGACCACCGTTTCATCAGTTGGCTGGTAGTGACAGGCCAGGACCGTCTCCTCCTCAGCCCGGGAGAGTATGGGATTAGCTTGAGAGAGGTCCACAAAGTCACCCCACAGCCCTGGAACTGAAAGAAGAAAGGAGTCGGTGAGTAATTACTAATGAGCTCTATCGTTTTCCTGAAAGTGACCTATGACTTACAGTCTGAACCTTTTACTTACAATAGTTGTAGAAAAAAAAACGTCATCGGCACTTAACCCCATTGCTAATTTATACACTTAAAAAACAAGAAAACCGTGTTGCAAATGTGTCAAGCTTCCATAAAGAGGAAGTGGCAAATAATACAAAAGCATGTGCACGTCCACTGAAGAATTAAGGTCTAGACATTTTCTTTGCTGACCTTTCAAGTTGAAGCTGGTTCGAGTGAATAAAAGAAAAGTCCCACTCATTTTAGTTCGACCTTCTTCTTTGTCGGTGAAGTAAATGAAAGGTTCTCTACAACATTCAGAGCATAATTATAGCAATAAACAACTACTAGCTCTGTAAATATATAGTGGGGAAACGTCTACGTGAGCAGTGAATAAAGTTGCTCTCCCTCTGTGTGTGTTGATAATTGAGTACTTCTACGTTTTAGTGCATGCGAGCGAGCTCCACTGTGCTCATGGATACACAGTACTGTTTGTACTGTTACTTTGGTTCGTACTATTTGTGAAGTACCGTTAGCTTCTCACAGCCATCTCGGTGCTGAGAGCCGCGTGGAGGCAAGAGCTTTTAAATGGAAAGAAGGAAATGCTGCTTGCTGTCTTGATGAGATTTTAGATGACAAGTTGGATACTTCTTCCATATTTTTTCCAACTAATGAGCTTAGCGGTGGGGTACACGTCTGTCTCAAAAAAGCATCCTTTCCGACATATCTAAATTCAATATGGTGTGTATTAACGTTTCAAAGTATGTTTAAGAGACTGCAACTAGTGTAACTTCCTGTTTTATTATTTTGCCCTCACACTTGTCCCTCAAGAACCACTTTACTTCCTGTTTTTGTTTAGTTTCAAACCCTTTTTCCCTCACCGCTCAATTCAGTTAATCATCAGCCCACTTGTATCTAAGCACCAATTAGTCACTCGATCCATGGCAGCTTATCCATTGCCAACCTTGATTTTGTATGGATCAAGTCATCAGTGTTCCCAGTGGGGTTTTGGCCTTGAAAAAGTGTTAAGTTCCACAGATTGAAGTAGGTGAAATATCTCCGTATGTAATACATGTTCTGACTGCAAGAATTTCAATTCTAGCCAAAATGAACGGAGACAGGCTGTGGAGAGTGAAAACATAGTGAAGACAGACAAGAGGGAGGAGAGCGAAAACAAGCTGTCGATCCCAGTTAGCACAAGGGAAGATATGTTGCTCAACTCGTTGGTCAAGATAAGGTTTCACGGCAGAATAACACGGGTGTATTTGAGTGTCTGGACATAGAGAGCCTTTAACGATTTCAGAAAAAACACAATACACAAAACACACTTGTGTGTACTGTGTTTCACGCTGAAACACTTTGAAACCACAAACGCTGGCATGCATCTCGGTTTGTCTTTTTTTCAATTCATGCTGCTATTCTCAGATGTCGGCTACAGTTTGACTTTGATCATTTCCTTTGCTGTCCTCAAGAAATCTCATAATAATGATTCCACCAAGATGTATGGAATGTTTTACATGGAATGCTTTATAGGGTATTGCAAGAGTTTGTTGGAGGGGAATATTTGCCTTGGTGAGCTGCTAAAATATACTTTTTGTGAAAGTTCCACTAATGAGAATGAGGGGAATGCTCGCCACACAAAAGCATGGGCAGGGGATTCATCATCACGGTATTATGATGCCGCTCTTGGCATCAGGCTTGAGTTGCTGCTGACCATGACACTTGACCCTTGCAGGTGGATTACTCCGAAACGCTAATGATAAATCAATTCATAGCACGCCGGATGATGTGTGTACATGCTAAAAACGAGCTGGCCTTTTCATCAGTGGCCTCTAAGATGAGCTAATCAGTAAAAATATGCTTTTCCTTTGATCACTATTCCGTCTGCCTTTACAAGCAGCATAGTGGCTAAATACGACTGCAGAGGTTGTTTACCAGCAGTCTTACTCATTGGGAGTAGCAGGGTTGTAATGTAGAAGTCATGTGACCACGTCATGTGTGGTTTGTTTGTATTCTAGCGTTTTCTTGTCATCGTTGCCGATTCTATTCATGCTTCAAAAGTCACAAATGTCACGATCATCACAGGTTTTTTTTTAGAAGCAGTTCATCCTGAAGGAGAAATTCATATGCAAATGTGGCTGCGACCCTGGGGAGTCTTAGTCTGCCTCTGCTAGCTGTGCTGCTGACACGGATAACAGGTTTAATCAAAGCTACAACTTGAATTCACTTTATAGTTCAAACATAATGGCACATTACTGTGCCACAAAGTGTTGATGCAGTTTGGATGACAGTGATGTAAATGATCTCATGTGTGAACAGAATATTTGAGTCAGAGCGCAACACTTCCTGTCACACAGCGGATTTGGTTGATCCACACGGATTTCCTGTTGAAACATTTTCAGACTTTCCAAAGTTTCAGGTGTTTGCGTGTCTTCCTACAGGTGTTAATTCAACATCTGATTTGGGGGAATCTGCCCAGATATGTGTGTGAATATGTGATTCACATTACCAGCAGACCTGATGCGTGTACTTTGAAGGCAGGTGTGTTTGTTACACATTCGACTGCCTGTTCTACATTACTGGAATAACACTCGGTCTTTATCCACCTTGATGTATGCGATTCCAAACGTTTTTCTCTCAACAATCATTCTCTGACATTCTGTATTTGTCGGCATTTCAGGAGAGATTTGTAGCAACTTCACCCATTAGATACACCGACAAATGCTTTTATAATAGATCGATGTGTTTTAAAACAGTAGAAAGACCTACTGCATCTACACATACAGACGCACAAAAGGTCCATGCTCACAGTTTCCTGAATCAGCCAGGAGGAGAATTCATCAGCAACCCGTTTTTCCTGTTTGTTTTTTAACTGCACTGTTCCATCGAAGACTTTGAGTGAGTCCACTGTACAGAATGGGGCTTGTGAATGTGCACAAAATACTGGAGGGCACATTTCTTAAAAGCAAGAAAACTAAAGGTCACATCTTGACATCTGCTTGTGTAAATATTACCGTGTGTAACAGGCCTTTGTTACGCTACAGGAGTATTATAGGTATGTAGGGAACAGCCTACAATAAGGTCACAACACAAATGCTGTAGAGGACTGCTCACATGGCCCTGAGGGAACATCCCACCTGACACCAGACAGGATTAAGACACAGACATGCTGTAAACTCTGGAATATAACACTGTATTTCTGCATGTCGCTGCATGGAAAGCTTTCTTACCAAAGATGCAGAGGACACAGATACACACTGACAGTCCGGTCGGCAGAGGTGTCATTCTCCTTGGCGGCTACTGTTAACTGTGCACAAGCTGGGACAATTTCAGCACTGAAATGAAGCTCATCAGTCCAGGTAAGGGTGTCCTAAACGGCAGACACGCATGAAGCCCCGAGGTGGACTCATGCCTCCATCCTTGATCCCTTCCAAAGTCCCGTCCTCGGCGAGAAAATGTTTCAGTTGTAAAAACTCAGTCGTTATGGAAATTGTAAATCCCCTCAGTTTGGTTGCGTGTTGGGTTTTAAGCACACGCCATCATGTTTGCCCTTCAGAAAAAAGAAGGAGCAGCCCGACCTGTTTGGGATACACCTGTTTGAGCTACACCTCTCTCTCTCTCTCTCTCTCTCTCTCTCTCTCTCTCTCTCAGACACACGCAGATCTGCTACCAAACAAACCCACGCACAAAAGTCACCATTCCGGTCCGGTAGGGGCAACATGACAGTTATTTTCTTGTCTTTGCATGCTCTGCTCAGAGGAGAGGCAGGTGAAAACAGAGATTAAGAAACAGTTATGACTGTGTCCGGGTGACACAGCCTGGATATCGTAATGTAAGAACTCTGTTGTACACCAGGCAAGGCAAGTTTATTTGTGTAGAACATTTCAACAACAAGGCAATTCAAGTGTTTTACATTGAAAACATCAAAACATAAAGCAAGGAGATTTACAAACAGATAAAAACATTGAAAAGCATTAAAGTCATTAAAAATATAATGAAGACGTTAAAAACAGAATAACATTTGTTAAGTTGTTTAAGAATGGCAGCTGCAAACAGAAAACAGAAACGTCTTTAATCTGGATTTAAAGGATGTGAAGGACTCAGCAGACCTGACCTGCAGCTTTCTGGGACTTTGATCCCGATATGTGGAGCGGAAAAACTGAAGACTGCTTCTACATGTTAAGTTTTGACTCTGGGAATAGAAAGTAGACAGACGACCTGAGGGCTCATGGCGGTTCTTAAGGTCAGAAATGTACCGTGGCCCTAAACCATTCAGAGTTTATAAACCAAGTCCATTTTTGGTTGGAGAGGAAGCAGTGTGAAGACCCGAGAACTGGAGTGATGTGATCCACTTTCCTGGTCCTAGTTAGGACTCGAGCTGCAGCGTTCTGGATCAGGTGAAGCTTTCTGATTGACATTTTACAGAGAAATGTAAACACACCGTTACAGTAGTCGAGTCTACTAATGCAAATATTAGAATTTAATCCTTTATATTAGAGGAATAAACAGAAACCTGCCCACTTTTGATCCATGTAATCTCCAAATGAAATGTCCCCATCTCACCTCATAAATGTATAGGACATTATGTTTTTCCTGCCTGCTTCATTTATTATATTAAATCGAATCAGCCTGACTTGGGCTAAATGTAACAGATAAAATCATCTCAGACAGACATCTTGAAGAGCGTTATACAAACTGCTAGTAACCAAACTACTGATAATTCTTCTTATTTTGATTATGATGGCCGGAGGTTTACCACTCTTTGCATAACATAACCACACACACGCTTTACCTCATATAACACTGCAATTCAAAGACAGACAACGTGTTTTTAATAAGCAAGTTGAACCTTTAATATGTATAAAACGCTCTAAGCACCCTACAGGTTACATTGCAAACCATACAGCAGTCTGTGTTGTTTCCTTGCTTTTCTCTCAGGTTTGTGTTTAAGAAAGCACAGGTAGAGCTTGACTGAAGGCGCCATCACTGCCATCCTGTGGTGTGCAGGAAACACTGCTCAGGGCCTCTACGGGGCCGGGGCCACTACATTCATCGCCGACCATCTTGCACAACACCAGAATGCTTTTGGAGCCACAAAAGAAGGAACATGGACGAAAAGAGGAAGTTAGATGGACAGTCTATGCACACAAACTATGACATTCACCCACCACATTTCCTTAAGTGGTCTGTATGTTTGCTGTTTTCCAAACATGTTTGCATGAAAATTAAATAGTTGCAACAGAACAAAAATAACATATTATATGTTATAATATATAAGATATTTATAACGACTAAAGATAAGCATTTCTGAAACTACAAGGCTCAACTTCCCAGTTCCTGTGTTGTCTTTCTGAAGTTTTTATTGATTCCACAAGAGCAAAAAAACAAAGAAATGTCGATGCATGCGCTCCCGTTAACTATGTCACTTCTTCATTCCAATTGTTTCATACGTGTCCTGGGCACGAGGGGACAAACCCTGAAGAGAAAACACAAAATGAGACATTCAGTGAACAGCATAATTTAAAGGAGGCATTTCATGCATTTTCACCTTCGTACTTATAAATGAGGTTTCTATTGGAAACAAGTTTAGATTGGTTGAATGCACTTACTGTACGTCGCTTTGGATAAAAGCGTCAGCTAAATGACATGTAATGTAATGTAATGTAATGTAGATGATTTCATTTTTATTTAAATGACATTATTTCCCTCAAACTGTCTGGATGTACCTAGATTTACTTGATGTCTGTAATGCTCTGTTTTAGCATGAGTATCTTTATCTCCCTATCACAAAAGCCCTGTCTCTTCTGATTGAAAGGTGTTTTCACCATCTGCATCTGACGCCGTCTTCAAATGGGTTTTAAACACATTGTGCGGGTCAACTGCACAGTTTAGCAGCAATTCTAGGTGACGGAATTTGTGACATCACAAACTCACAGTCGGGATGCCTCCTTTAAGACAGTTTTTAATCAAAAAAAGTAGAAGAAAATCTCACTCTCTTCAACTTAACAGTCTCTTTTAATATTTAATCAACTGTCTCCTTCCCACTATTCACAGCGTTAAAACTCACCGTGTAGATGCTCTCATCACCAGGCTGTCAGGGGCAGAAAAGGACAACATAGATCAGTGCAATTACAGTGAGACACAGTGTTTTCTGTTGGCGGGTTAAAGGGTGCAGATATGCACTGACTCTGTAAAAAGAGCCAAGAAGAACGTATCGGAGAAATGCAGGCCAGGAATCAGCATGAGCTGAAGCTTTTAGACGTTGGGGTGCAGTTTCTGGCTAATAAAAGGAAATACTATAATAAAATAGGTAGTAACTTCTAATAGGCTGGAGAACATACTAGAAAACAACAACAAGTATCTCTTTTTGTTGTTTAAACACTGAAGTTTGAACTGATATGAGATTATTTGGCTTCCAAAGCTGCTCTGGTTCTGGTTTGTTCCCAGTGGTTCCACTGCTGTGGTGAATTGTATTCCCAGTTATCAAGTTTTTTTCTAACCCCTCTACATCCATTTTAAACAACACGTCTTTGTATCTATTTAAGTTAGTGTTTTCATTCTTACCTGCTTGCCCTTTGCGTTCTCGGCTGTAGCCACCTTAGCATTGATGATCTGTAGAAGACGAAGAGTTAAATGAAATAAGTGTTGGACAGAAAGAATAATGATGTAAGTGTTTAAAATGTATCATTATTTTTATTGTGGTCTCTGATAGTAATTAACGACATATGTAACCTTTACACTATAATTCAAGGACAAACAGCAGTGGAGTGGAAGTTGGAAATTCCATATTTGGTATCACACATCTAGAGTTAAAGCTGCACTCAGATTGTAAGCGTGACACACAGTGGGTGGAGCACAGCCCTCTGAGAATAAAGAGAGCGCATTAGAGGCTCAGTGATGACGGGTCTAAACCCAACAAAGCACTTGAACCCTGTGGTACAAGACCGTAAACACTAGAACGTATAATACAGAAAAAAAACTGAAAATCACATATGCTTTAAACCACCCGCGGTGCTTGGGGAGTCCAGGGGCCTGGCAGTATGACACGGGCCTCTCATAATATGAAAAAAGTGTCACCTAAAATAATCTAAGCTAAATGTTTCTGACCTTTTATTTTAGTGCATCGGCGAAGATTTTATTATGTGCTCCAGATACTTTACATGTCAGGAGTCAATGGCAAACAAGCTCAGGCTAATCAACTATTCTAATAAATTATAAATTTGAAATCTAAAAAAAAAAACTAAACCGTACTAACATGAGCACAATGCACCAACTTACTTCCTATGATACTACATGCCTCCTTTTTGTCAGACAATGAAAGATTCAATATCCTTTTCTCAATGACACTTCTTTCTGCAAAGGCAAATGTGTAGCATGCACACCTTGATTCTGCAGTAGAGAGCCGTCAGGATGATGCCGTACAGAAAGAGGATTCCATCCAGCACGTAGCAGATCTGTGGCTCCGTGAGAGTAGCTGAGGGAAAACAGGAGGACACTTTATTGGGAGCAAACCCCCCATGGCACGGCATGGCCCTTGGACATGTTGATGATGTAAAGACTGAGAGACTAACATCATCATCATCATCATCATCAAGCATTGGTCTCACAGACGTTCTTCCTGCAGTTTCACGCTTCCTTCCTTCTTTTCTTTTATCTGATCATTTAGCCGTTGTTTGTCATGTGATGACTACTGCTGTGCGACGACGGGGCTGTTTCGCTGTCCTTTACAAAACAGGATTATTGAGTAACGGCGATGTCACCATTTTAGGTTGCGAAAAAAACAGCAGCCATGACATAAGAGACCATATGCGTTCTCATATGCATCTTGAATGGGACTTCAGACTACAGTTTATGTAGGAATTTTAAGGGGAAATAGGAAGTATGAATAGGGTGTACCACTTAATGCTGTCAAACTTTAATATAAATATACAGGGACATATAACAATAATCACATGAGAATGAATGAGATCACTAAAGGGGGTTAATTTATGAGGAACACTCGTTTCTTCTGTTATGGGAATCACTCTAATCTTACACACGCACACAGAGGAGCGGCAAGATGAACTGTGGTACATGAGCGGGTTCAGTATTCACTTTGCAGGAATAGTGAAATCATTGTTTTTCTATTGCTTTGGTTTATAAGGTCAGCCTTATTGTACAGTATATGCAACCACATTAGTTTTTAAAGTTAAGCTCTTTACCCACGCTTATCTTAGCTTCATCACTATTATCGTCGAAGCTACAGCGTCCATTTTTTCATTAACCTTTCATTGACTTTTGAGCATAACGTTTTTGTTTTTTTTAATCTAACATGATAAGCAATAAGAAATCTGCATGCACAACTCTCGTTTCTGAGTGCACAGCACGCAGACGGTGTTATATTCAGCCTCAGAGTTGTACTCTTATCTAACGCAAGTATTTTTATTACAGGCAAAAAAAAAGCAGCTCGGCCTTTCGTGCACGCTTCAATCTGGGTGACTTCCACCGCGGAAAGCGTTTGTGTCTTTAGCTGTCTGCATAATGAATTCCCCTTAATAGAACAGCGAAACAGGGTCATATTTTCTTACTCCGAGCTCAACATGTGATGTATTTCTGAGTATGGCCAATAATTAGGTCACCAGTCAACCAACCACCCCCCCCCTTCCCTCCCCCTTTTAAGGAGTCATATTTATATATAAATATAATATTACACTTTTATAGTGCTTCTACACGATGATGTGGCTGGAAAAAAAGTTTTTTCATGATTCCTGTAAAGAATTTATACTAATTAACACAACTTTTTGGGGTGTTCCGGGGTTTGCGGATGTCATCAGCTCAAGAGAGAGTCTCCCTCACGTGTCCTTGGCCCTCCCCACTCAACCCTCAAAATCAGCTGTAGTCTGCTGCTACATTGCGTCGCAGGCTTAGAAGGCACAAGAACAAAATTAATTCATTTCATATATGAAAACCCCGTATCGCCAAGAATTGGGAAAAAGCTGTTGTGTTGCACAAGTCATTTTGAAACAGACTGTTTTCTCACCCTGTAACACTGGACTTCCGCAAAGATTGGTCTGGTTTGGGGGGGTGGCAGCTTAAAGAAACAGCACGTTTCAGACAGAAGGGGAACACAGGGATATTCTCACACACAATACGAGGAACATATCATTTTTAACATGTGCATGTGTCACCTTTAACAGTTGTTACATCTCACACGTACGCTATAGTCACTGCAGTGACTCCCTCTGTGAGTCACACTTCACATGCTTTTTTTTTTTTTTTTTACATTTCTCTGCTTTTGAGTCCGTGTTGGTGCACGTGAGTGCTCTCATACGGCGGTTGCAGATTGCCGCGCTGTCGTCGTGGAAGCATTGCATTCAGCAAGCAGCCAGCTACGTTTTAAGAGCAGTGGAGAGGCCCTGAAAATGCTTCTAAACTCATTGTATGCACCTTTAATGCAATGAGCAAGTAGTTTATTTTTACAAACTTTATTTATGTTTAAGTCCTTAGACCTAACGGAAAAACTAATCAGAACAATTGTGTTTGTGTTCTTTAAAGGCTTTTAGATGTGTCTTCTTGCAATATTATCTCAGAATCCGATGCTTGAGTATTTCATTAGATGATCACTAAAATTCAAAGTTACTTGATTCATTTAAAGATGCAAGCTGATTGGGCAGATGAAAAGAGAATCTCAATTTCACAGAGAATGTGTGGGAAAAAAAACTGCATCAACACTGGCCAATCAGAGTTCTTACTGCTGCAAGTTGGACTATCTTAATTTTAAAGCAAAGATGAGATCATCACAGTTATTATAAAACGCTTGGCAGGAAATACGTGACAAGAGGACAAAATGTCAAATCCTAAAGCCCCTCAAATAATGAATACATCTCGTATGTGTACAGACTAGAAACTCCTCTGAGGCAAATTTGTAATTTGTGATTTTGGGCTATACAAAATAAAATGAATTGAATTTCAGACAAAATAATGGAACTGTCTTTTTTTATCATTACATAATTTATATTGACATACGCAATTAAGAGTCAATCAATAATCACACTAGGAGAGTCCTGACTTGTGTGTTCTTTACTGTGAGCCAGAGAAGTGGTTTGTTATCTCCGTATTTTGGTTGCCGTTCCTCTTGCGTAGCGTGGTCTAAAAGGAAACGGCACTGAGTAAGCCTCCAAAAAATAACTGACAACGTGACATTAATGCAACCCAACATGTTGCCCAATTAGCAGCACCCGATTTGAAAGCTAACTTAGGAGCTTTTCCTTAACAAGTGGATAGCGAGTCGATAGCAACTCCACACTATGATTCAAATAATGTGATTAATACAGTGCCTGTACATGGCCAACGAGCTAGACCCTACACACACACACACACACACACACACACACACACACACACACACACACACACACACACACACACACACACACGGCCGGAATCAGTTGTGGTTTTGAATTAAAACTGAACTATTCAACGCCTCGTACACACTGAATGACAATGTTTGAGTATCTAAATTGCACAAAATACATTGTGTTTTCTGTTAAAAATCCAGAAGTAACATGCAAAATAAAAGTAATTTAGTATAAAACTTGGTGTATAATTTATTGAAAATTGTGAATCAATAATTGCATTTTTATGTAGGAGACACTCCAGTATAAGCGAGCCAAGGAACATACAAAGAGAGAAAAAGAAAAATCACACTACTTATCAGGAAGTGGAACCAATAAAAGAATTACTCAAATGAATCCAGGATTATTAAAACTGTATTAAAAATTAGACCCCCATAATTTAATTGACCTTTTAATGCCTGATATACTCATCTGTGATATTTTTTGTTCAGTTTAATTTCGGGTTACTCAAATCGGATTGACTGTAGTTTAACAGTGTATGTAAGCAGCCACAAAACACAGAATATTTGACTAAATTCCATAGGAACTAGTCAAAGGCCGCTAAAATGATTAGAAACACGACACTAAAAAGAACGTATTTGTTGAGTATGTTGGACAACCGGTTCAACAGCTAAAAAGTGGCTCTGCCTCAGTTCCACAAATGAGAGGAACCAAAAAGGGTCCGGTTTTTTTGCAAGAGGAACTGTTCATTTTGACCACATTTCAGCTGCCTGCTCTACTAGAAAACCCTGCTGCTCCAAAAAAACATCAGCAAACAATAGTGTTGTCAAATCCCATGTTTTTTGACAGCATGCGTTTCATCCAACTATTAAAAAAAACAAAAAACATTTCCACCTTAATGAACCACTAAACATTGTACTTCTGTTCAGTGATGCTGTAACCGAATAACGATACGTAAGGGTTCACAGTTAACATTAAAACTTGAGTTTACACATTATCCCAGATTGATGTCTCAACTCACCAGATGCTCTCCCAAAACTAACCCACAGAGAGATGACCAGCAGTAACAGGCTCCTGCCCCCCCCAGTCATGGTAACACAGGCTTGGAAGTGACCAGCACACAGAGCAAACACAGCGACTCGTGGGTGCGTTGATCTGCGTTCTAGTGAAGACCTGAGCGGCGCTTACTTCACTTCTAACAAGGGAAGTTGTGGTGTGAGCTCTACGTCCATTTGTCTCCGATCTCATCAGGCCACTCCCCTCCACCACCAAACCAGAGGAAGGACCAAGATCAAGGCCGTCGGTCTCTGCAGTTATGTTTATTATTTGAATTTCAGAAGCAAGTCCAGGAAATGGAACATAAGCAGAAAGGTGTTTGGTGTCTTTTAAAATCCCTTCAAAATCCCCCTGTTGCAACGTGATGGTAAAAAGATACAACTTGCTACTTTTCTGTTCGGTCATAAAATATTTATTAGGAGTATTTGGGCATTGTACATCACCGATTGCAAGTAGAGTCACCTGTCAAAAGCCTCAGATCGGCAAAAAGTGAACAGGAAGAGAACCCGACTGCCAGTTGAGTGGAGGAGAGGATTAACTCTCCTCTTCAGAGAACCAACTCGTGAGCAGCGGCACACTAACGATCAACTTCGCCAAACACTATGTCCTGTGTGCCTGTCGAAAAAAGAAGAAGAAAAAGGTCAGTACCAGTATTAGCAAAAAAGCTAATGTTCTCGTGCGGAAGTAGTATTGCACCTCTGAGGACAAGAATCAGTCTCTTACCAATAATGGCCACAACATCAGCCAGCATGTGTCCTTTGGCCATTTTATCCAGACCAGCCTAAAAGAAGAAAACATTTATTAGTATCGAGAAGAACTAAAAAACAGCTAATCAGGGCGGGTGAGCTCATAATTTATGATTGTAGCCTTAAGTTGATGCACCAACTACAATTAGTTTGTTCATACATCTTTAAAGGACATTTTTATCCTTGAAGAAGCAAATTTAAAAATGAAGACAATACACAGCGGTTCATGTCCACGAGCAGGAAGGAGGAGGTTCTGTACGCTTTTAAAAATGGCTCTTTAGTACTTTATCAAATCTACTTAATGAACTAAAAGTAGCCTCCAGGAGAAGCCGTTAAAAGCGCTTTAATAATTGATACCCGGTGTGTTTAAATATTTCAGTGTCTGGAGTTGTAAGTGCGCACCAAGTGAGCGAATCCAGGCGCTTTGATCTTGCAGCGATAGGGTCTGCTGGAGCCGTCCGATATCAAATAAACACCAAACTCTCCCTGCAAGCGACACACAAAAAACACTAGTAAGCATATCACATCACAACAGGACCCTAAAGGCTTTCCAATTAATTAAAGACTCCAAAAAACATGTGTATACAGAGGATCCGCAGAGACTTTAAAAAAATATATATTACGACATCTGCGATTAATTGTCTGGTTAGTCGGGAAAAAAAAGACCATTTCAATCTAGGAATGTTATCCACTTCATGGGTGGTCTCACCTTCGGTGCCTCCACAGCGGTGTATGTGGCCCCTGGGGGGACCTGGTAGCCCTCTGTGTACAGTTTAAAGTGGTGGATCAGAGACTCCATGGAGGTCTAAGGACAAGGAGCACATACAACATGGTCTGTCTCAGCAGTTGTCTTGAAAATGAGCCAAACACACGCGACTTAGAGGAGGTGGGATCTAGTGACTCAAATGTAAAACTGAAACGGTGAACTGAGGTCAACTAGGTGACATCCGGCCTTCAGGGCAGCCAAACTAAACAGCACTCTGCAGCAGCTGGCCTGGTTCTGTAAGGACGGGTAGTGTGAAGATGAAGCGTCCCACAGGCTGAAAGGAACAAAGAACAGGGGAAAGATTTGTTTCCCCCACTCAGCTCACCTTCATCTCAGACCTCTTGGGTGGGGCAATCTTGGCATCATCCACCTTAATCTCTCCTTCCGGCATCTTGTTGAGCGCCTGGTGCATGATCCGCAGCGACTGCCTCATCTCCTCCACTCTGCACAGATACCTGCACCAAAGATCAAACTGTGGGTCCGTCCTCTCAAACAGACGTGGTCATGTCTCCTAATTAACCCCCAACATAGCATGTTGAATCCTGTGAATCTTTGATTAACTTCCCAGTGTTCATCACAGGCATGTTGGGGGAAAGAACTAAAAAAATGGGCATATTTAGGTACAATTCTGACAAACATCCCAGAATTTCTTTGATTTAAGTCTGATATCCACAAGAAAAACACTAAAAATCAATTTCTTAAAGAACTAAATATGGAGTGAAAAAATAGGAACCTCACTAGTAGTGGGAGGTGATGTGTGCATCTGCAGGCCGCTCCGAATAGCATTTACAGCGTTTACAAACAGCAAATAATATGACTATATGGAATTACTTAAAGATTAAACTACTTCTTTTTTTCACATTGGAAGATTTCATCAACCTCAGACCGCAGTGGCCTCGGCTTGCAGAACATTCTGCCTGCAGTGGATACCTGACTCAAATCAGACTGCAATCTGTTTTTTTTTTTTCAAAGGAAAGAAAATGGTGACTCCGTGGCACGGAATCACCAGAAGTATCCAGACTTTGTAGAGACATTACTGTGAATTGGCTACTCAAGACAAAAACAACATGAGGTTTTTCTCATAAATGAACCACTGTAGTCTCAGAATATTGTTCCCCACCTTCTAATGGCCCGAATGCCATGTTGTAAGCTCAGACATCTTAAACTATGATTCACATATGGTTTGTTCAGTATAGCATGCAAGCTGCAGAATTATATGTGCTGGTTCAATACAGATTCCACAAAAAGGCAAAGACATAAATCTGCAATAAATGTAAATCTCTATTATATCCGTTATTGGAATGCTGGAGCTCAGCATGCATCTCTTCATTTTGTCGGATACCTTCCTTTTCACAGGAGTTATCAATGTCTACGTGCGTATGTACTGCCATCGGTCCATCTTCTACCTGTCATAGCAGTCTCCTTTGCTTCCAATGGGGACGTCAAACTCCACTTGGTCGTACTTGTCGTAAGGCTGCGACTTTCTCAGGTCCCACTTGATGCCGGATCCACGCAGCATCACTCCGCTGGTGGAGGGGAGAGCAGTGAGAAATATCAGTGTGTACACAATCTAATTCAAATAGGCTAGCATTTCAACAAAAGGCAACTATAGGGGGGTCTTCTGACTTCCATTCATGGGTTACCTGAAGCCATAGTTGAGGGCCTCCTCAGCAGTAACCACCCCGATGTCCACGGTGCGATTCTTCCAGATGCGATTGTTGGTCAACATCTGAATGGAGCAAAGTCAACAGGTTTAAATTCTAACCGCGGATCTTTTCACACATGTGGATCATGCTAAGGACTTTGATTGATTTTGGTCATTCACCTCTTCTAGTTCATCAATCCGAATGGAGAAATTCTTGCACCACACATAGATGTCATCCATCAGACCAAGGGGCAAATCCTGCAGCACATTTTAATTCATCAGCAAGTCAGAGATCATGCACATTTGATTTTTTTTCTAAATTACTATTAGATAGATGAACCTGATATGTAGCAGTGTTTTGTCATAAAAATATGCGACACGAATCGGTCAATGAATTCCCGTACCTGATGCACACCGCCAGGTCGGATGTAAGCAGCGTGCATCCGGGCTCCAGACACTCGCTCATAAAACTCAAACATCTGAAATAAAAAAAGCACACGCAGTTTGTTAGAGGGGCACGAGTAGTCAATGTTTAAAAAGATGATCTTAATGGATACTTTGGTTTCTGAGTGGACATTTGTCTACGGGCAAACTGATTCTGGAAGACGTTGTGAGAAGACTGGGTATCAAAGCAGTGGTGTCATGGGACAGAGCAAGCTCGACTACAACCTACAGCAGCACCATTTCAAGCAAATACTTACAAAAGGCCTAGGTTTCTGTAACTAGCCAGAGAGAACTAACGTAGTCTAATACAAAAGCCATGGAATCAGTGCTACCCAATTAAAGGTTATTATCTTCGATTTGGGTTGAAATGTTTTTATGGTTAAGAGTTGGTGTTGATTGTCCTAAGAAAGATTGTATGCTCTGACCCCACACGCAAAGAAGCCGGCCTCTGTCAAACATACAAATGCGTTAATAAATAGAGGGAACGGTAGATAATTGGGGGACTTGGGATAATTCCTGACGGTGAAGCTCTGAATCGCTGAATCTCATGCAATTGCTTAGACGCAGAATTAGATGACGGTGACAGATTACTACATTTACGGTCTGCCGCTAGTTTACAAAGTCATGTATCTTTTTTTGGTCACACGTTTTCTGTGTCCTCCCATACAGTTGGAGGATTTGGTCATGGTACTTTGAGGTTATGTATTACCAGTGGGCTTGAAAACAGCACAAACTGATTAATAACAAGGCAGACAGAATGACTTGGACCTTCTCTCTCTCTTCAAACAGCCAGAAGAAGGGTGTCATGGCGCCAATGTCCAGAGCGTGAGTGGTGACGGCCATGATGTGGTTCAGGATGCGAGTCATCTCTCCGTACAGAACTGCAAACACAGAACACACCCAGCCCTTTATGGTTAATCAGTCTGTCGACCCAAACCATTTTATTTTTTATTTAAAAAGTTACGTCGCCTTTGAAGCAAATACATATAAAATATATATATTTTTATATGAACTTGCAGCGTGGAAAATTGAAGGCAAATGAATAAAAATTATAAAACTTGGCGAAAGCAGTAATCCAAAATGGCTTGATTAAAAACAGCCATCCACAAACCAATGTGTGACGTCACCATGACAACATCCACCTCTTACATACAGTCTGTGGGGGACACAGTCACTCAGTCACTCACTCCCAGCCGTGGGGGGAAGACATCAAAGAGAGCGGAGCTAGCAGACCTAGCAGAAATCCCTTCCTAGTCTGTACCTCTGATCCACTCTGCACGGGGCGGAGCTTGGATGTTGAGCAGCTTCTCCACTGCTAGAGAGTAGGCCTCCTCATTGCACATCATGGAAACGTAGTCCAGGCGGTCAAAGTAGGGCAGAGCCTGTAGCATTAAAAAGGAAGAGCAACTGGGTAAGGGACTTCCCAGAGTTACGCAACGCATGATGGAAGATCCTCTTAATCCGTTTCCTTCAATCGACGTCAAGAGACTAATTTAATCTTTTTTAAGAGAGCCGAGATGTTACTCTCGCACCGTCCGTTATGT